CCTCTGAGCACCCACCCTGCAGCTTTGCACGGGTGGGAACAGCCAGCTCAGAGAAAGTGATTTGCTGGTAAGAGCCTGCAAAGATACTTGCCCTGTCAGGCAAATGGAATTGTTTCTTTAAAATTGCACCTTGCTCTGTGGTCACTTCTGATGCACCGGAATTAAAGCTTGAACATTTTCTGTGCTTTTCCTGCCTTTGGTATTTGGCCATGGAGGGGTCTCTGCTGTGCAGGAAAGGTACACAGCCTACTGAGGACCTTGCTCGACATCTAATGTGAAACAAGCAAAACCACTTTTGACTTCTATCAAAGCTACAACAGAAAGAGTAGGACTTGCTGAGCTTTCTTGGTGTTTGAAGCAGGTACTGAATAGTGGATCCTCAAAGTATGAGGGGACAAGGCCTGCTTCATCCTTGTCTCCTTTTGACGTGACTGCTGAGCCAGAAGGACACACATGTTGTGCTGGGATTTTTGATGTTGCTTTGTGCTATTTTTTCTCAATAAGCATACTTAGCTTAATAGTGTCATACCCCTGGAGGATATAGAATGTCAGCAAAGGTGGAAAAGTTTTTGGAATGTAGAATTCAGTTAAAACAGCTTTAAAAAGTAGCAGAATTTGATGTTTGGGCTGATGTGCCACTTGTGCTGTGTGTGTGCGCCAGATGACTAAAGAAATTGCTGCTGGTCCTGATAGTTTATTTTTTATGCACAAAGTTCTGTGTGTGTTTTCTTGTTTGTGTATAACTTGGGCTAATACATTTACATAAACTAGAAACACCTAACCAATGTGGACATAATTATTTGGGTAAATGATTTGCTGCATTGCAGACTTTAGCTCTGTTTGTAACTGGGAAAAATTATTTATGTGAAATAAGCAAAGTATATGGAAGCTAGGAGCATACAGCTTTGGTGCATGATATATCCACAGTTACCATGCTTTAAAGTGGCTCTTTTCAAAGCATGGATGGTAAATATAAAGTGTTTTTGCTGACATGACAACATGGGGTTTGTTTTTAGTACTAAGAGTTCACTGGCATTAGAGAATATTTCAAGCTTGGCTTAACAAGTTTAACTTTCATTGCTCACTAAATGTGTAATTAAGTTACAACATCTTCTCATCTGTTTTGAACTTAAATTATCGCTGGTTTTAACTTTCCTATCACACATGACTTTTTCAGGATTGCAGGATGTGTGAAAATGGTTTACTGTAGCCATATGCTTCTTGGCTCAGAACTCCAGGATGTTTCAGTAGGTTTGAAGCATGGGTGGTTGTGTGATGTGTGGTTTTTCTTTTACAAAAGCTGTGTTGATTCTTGCCTAGACTACTCTATCTCCTCATGTTTCCAGAAATTCTTCTGCAGAACATTTTCTAGTGGTTGCATTGGAAAGGGATCAGGTTTGAGGAAGGTGGCTCCACCAGATGTCTCCTTGATCCCTGCCTTGCATGTGGCCTGTGCTGTTTCCAGGTGTCCAGCAAGTCTACCTAGCTTGATACCTGAGGATTGAATCACTTTATTGTGAGTTTGCTGTCCTGGCTGAGTGTGTTTGCTGAAGAGATGGCTCTTATCTGTGGGAAGGACACAGCTAAGAGGCCAATTGTCCCTTTATCAGCTCTCTGGCTTCCTCCTTAGATGCTTCTGGGTCAGCAGGCTTGACTTCCACAGAGCTGTAGAACAGTTTGGGCTGGAAGGGACCTTGAAGGTCATCTCATTTCAACCTCCTGTCAAGGGAAGGGACACCTTCTACTAGACCAGATTGCTCCAAGCCTCATCCAACCTGGGCTTAAGCACTTCCAGGGACAGGTCATCCTCAGCTTCTTTGGGCAATCAGATTCACCATTCTCATCCACATCAGTTCATCAGGATACTTAGTTTGCTTCTCAAAATCCCATGGTGTGAATTATTTTTCCTTAGGATGTGATGCAGTAAGAGCAAATCAAGTGTGTTTTGTATACCCAGCTGGAAGGGGCTCTGCCTGTTGCTGAGGGAGCAGCTGTAAGTGCACCCCAGGCAGTGTGCTGTGCACTGGGTGGTGATGCATGACACTGGTTCAGTCACCATTTCCTGTTCCTTTGGCTCCCACTATGATGATGGTCCATTTCTGCTGCTAAAGCACCAACACCTCATGGCCCTTTGGGCCTGGGTAGTGGTGGTGGGCTGCTCACCTTGCTGGATAGTTCTGACTAGTTTTATACTGCTGCCAAAGCAGAGAGATTGAGAGAGGGATGGATGACTGTCATGGTTTTCTTCAGTGAGTTGAGATCTGGTGGATGGGAAAAGGCACTTGTAAACACAACAGTGCCTTTGAATTTTTCTGTGGAGTTCATAACACTAATGCAATGTGATTTGTGGCTGTTGTTTGTGGTTATATGGAAGAAAATGCTTTTTCTGTTCAGGTTTTCTTATATGTGTTACTTGTTCCAATCTCTGCTTTCCCAGGGAGGTAGGAAGTGGTGTTTGTACTCTGGAATGTGAGTGTTAGTGCGTGAAGGAGTTTGGAGAACTTCTTACAGAACTGTAAAGGGAGGCAATATATTCCCACTGAAGCTGCTAAACAGCAAAGGCTTCTGTGAGCCCAGAGGCACGCACATTTTCTGTAAAGGCTGGTTTTAATCCTTCAGTTTGGAGATGTATGAGGAGTCCTTCTCTCTTGCTAATTGGTGGAATGTCCTTGCCATCAGCTTTCTCTCCTAAAATGCCTTGACTAGCATGTGGTGCTGGTTTAGGCTGCTCTCTTCCTTCCCCTTGCCCTGGGGGTCTTCTGAGCATCCGTGTTCCACAAGCTCACCATGTGGGACTGACACAATGCAGCTTTTCTTGCTCTTCAACTTCCCTTAGTGGTAATCTGAAACTTACTTTTTTTTTATGACTCTTAACTGCATATAGTTCTGAAACTGCTCACTTGGAAGGTTTCTTGGCTGGATGTAGTGCACAGAGGGCCACAGGCAGAAGGTGTGTGGCTTGCACTGGGGATATTTTTCTTCCCCTTCTTCCAACTCAGCCCTTCAGCTATCAGACAGAAACTGAAAGGATTGTTTTTCTCGTGTTGCTTTGCTGAAATAGGGAGAAGCAGGTCAGCATTGCATGGACCCACCTCAAGTTCCATTACTCTTCTCAGAAGAATAAGGCTAGATTTTGTTTCACAGAGCTGAGTTTTGCTACAGAGCACAGTAAAGTCTGGTATTTCAATGTAACATTTTATTGTTGTGTATTTCAAGAAAAGCTTGTTTAAGTTTCTCAAGTCAGTGAGAACAGCTATGTTATATTTTTGGGCTCATCTTTCCAAAAAAAACCCTGAGCTTTAATCTTTGGTGGATCTGAAGCAAAGGTTACCAGGTTGGAGGGTGCAAAAATAATTGAAGTGACCCTGAAGAGTTTTGTGGGAGTGCTCTCTGACCCTTACAAATTCTCCTGCCTGCAAATGTGTTAGGAAGTCCTGTCCTCTATAGCAGAATTCCAGTGCTAGCCTAGATATTTTTATAGAGAAACTATCCTTGACTAAGAGACTGAGACAGCAGTTTCAGTGGGGGGCACTCTGCCTCCCAGCTTTTAGTAGTCTAAAACCTTCATCTGGTGCTGAAGGATGTGGGATGAGTGCAGAAAATTAAGGAAAGTACACTTTGTAAGTCACAATAGTGTTGGTCTTAGAGGCCGCTGTAAAATAAAGCAATTTGGGTGGCATCTTAGTTTTCAGTTGAAAGAATCAGTTTTGCAGTCTGAGGATAACTAGCAGACATCTGCTAGTCTTTTAAAAAAAGTTGATATCCAAATTTTCAAATTTATAATTACTTAGGGAGATACAGTTTTAGATCATGTCAGTCTGGCCAAACTGCAATTAATTGCTATAATCTTCAGGTACCATTTTTATGTTCAAAGTGGAGAGGTGATTTCTGCCACTTACTGCTATGAAAAATAAAAGTGCTTTAGTTAATAATGGCTGTAATCAAGAGCTTGAAAACGTTTTCCAGGCTTGCTTTTTTCCTCATAAACTTGTGTTCATGTTCCCCAAAGCACCAATGGTACAAGTGTTGGTGTAGCAGATTGTGCAGCAGCAAATGTTGAACTGAAAAAGCTTTGCTTGCTTCAAAACTGCTGAAATGCTGGTTCTCTGATGTCAGATCCCTGAGGTCTAACATTGTTGTGTCAATGATGTGTTTAAGCTTAGAGTGGTTTTGTGTCTTGTGGCTCTTAAAGCGTGTCTGGCATCTCAAGTATCAGGAGAAGCAGAGACTTTGTGAGTCAGGGTTGACTTTCCTGTGGGTGTGACAGCCAGGTGATTTTGTCCTGCCTTTGTGCCGTTCTGCTGTGGAGAGGAGATAGGAGTTTGTATGATTAACTTTTTTTCAAGGAACTCTTCATTGTGAGAGCTACTCAGGCTGAAAGGAGAATGAGGTGGTTTGCACTCAGAGTTCTTTCCAAAGGAACTCCCCAGGAGAATATAGTGAATATTTTGAAATGATGTATGAATATTGGATGTCACCAGTTCTCACAGTTGAAAATATAAATCTTGGGGCTGCTTTGAACCAGCCCTTTTGTGTACAACTGAAAGAAAAGATGTTACTTCTCAAATGGGGAATGTGAGCATTTCAGTCTGGGGGAGGGGAGTGAGTCCTGCCGTTCTCCTTCACTTGTATGCACCAAACGAATTTTTCTTTAAAATCCTGCTCATACTTTGTTTTCCCTCAGGTGCTTTTTTTGCCTTCTTAGTTTGGGCAATTGTGGCAGATGCCAGTGCATTCATTATGTTTTTGCAGTGTCTACATAAATGCTGCTACTCTTGTGCTTTTGTTCTGTTGATACACCATAGTGTCTAAGGTACCTGTTCGTTTTTTGGTAATTAGATATCATCACTCTTGTGATTCAGATTCTCAAATTTCCTGTCAATTGTGTCAAGTTGTTTATTATGGAGTTGACAGTATTTTAGTTTCAAAAGTTTAGACTCTTCTCTGTTAAATGCATCACATTGCTAGTAAACTGACACTCCTTTTCTTTCTCCTTTCAGCCAGATAATGAAATCTCTTCAGACTGCAATCATGTAAGTATTGCTTTGTTTATTCACTCTCTAGCTATGGCATTTGCACCTCCTATCCCTTGTGAACCTGAGGTATTTTGCATAGTTTGGTACTTTGCAAAGGCTATTAATCACAACACATTTGGGTTTCTGTACTGGCCTTTGGAGGAAGAACACAAGGTTACTTCTTTAACCCAGTATAACCACATTGGTCTTAATGGAGACTTCAGAGTGGAACACTTTTAAGAACATTACAAACTGTACTTCTGTATCAGGGGAGGATAGCAGACGTCTTTCCTGTTTTATAAATGGGGGGTGGTTCCCGTGAGTTACTGGGAGCAGTGTGATGTGTTCCTTTTGGCAAAGATGTGAGCAGTACTGAATTTAAACTCTTAATTCAGTTAATTTCAGCTGTTGACACCTTCTGTATTACTTTCACAGCTGCTAAATTCTTAGACTCGTTTGGAAAATGATGTGGGGGTGTGATATTTAGAGGCAGTTTGAGACACTTGGCTGATTTTAGAACAGATTTCCTCTCAGCACTGTGTTTAACAGTGAACAAACTATTAGCCAGTTTTTGGGCTGTCAAGCTGACTCTTCAAATCCCAAGACTCTCAAAAAAAACCAGATAAAATTCAGTGCTGAGGTTGGTATTAGGTTTCTTTTGGTTTTTCTCATTTCTATTCTGTCAGCATACACCATATCAAGATCCTTAATTGCTTGGTTAGCCCTGAACACAGACAGACAAGTGCATGCCTCAGTGACAGTCTTGATTTTGGATGCTTGAGAAGCTGTATTTTGTTTTATTATTGGAAGATATATTCCAGAGATGAAGCCCAGTCATGCTGTACAACCAGTAATTTCCAACTGTGTTTATAAATTAACCTTTAGCACTGCCTGACTTCATTGGCAGCTGTAATTCTCTGTTGTGCAGGATTGGATCAGATGAAGGGCACAACATGTTTCTGTTTAAGTCTTTTTGAAAAAGAGAAAACTCCAGTAATTAAAATGTATCTGCCTGACATTTAAATGTGCCAGCAAAAATTACCTGAATGAAGAAGAAATGGAGAATTTTAGAAGTCAAAGTTGGATCTTTCTTCTGCTGGATTAAGTGATGGCATCTCTGCTTCAAATGTTGGGTGGATGTGGATTATGGAAGCCATTCACAACAGGAACTGTGGGCTAAGTCTCATTTTCCCAGGCAGAAACTGAAGGGAGGTGATAAAAAACTAGACCAGAAGAGAGATTGTCTCTTGTCCAAATGTTTTCTTTGCCTCTCTCTGCAGTACAATTGTTGATCATCCCCTGGAAAGTTCTATCTAGTGCTAAAATCAGGAGTTTTAAGCTGAAAGTTTAACCTTCTGTTCGTGGGAAGGTTCATTTGGAGAGCATCACATTTTGAGACTCTCCAAAGTGTGAGATTGTAAATGCAGAGATGTATTTTCATCTTGTGTCCTCATTCTTGTACTTCCATTTTTGTCTGGGAGAGACCTACAAGGTCCTTGCTCTTTGCAAGGACAGGTTCCCCATTCATTCACTTTTACCTACTAAACCTCATGTTTACAATTTACTCCATCTGTAACACCTAGTTTACCATCACCTCCTTTTTTAGCTTTTCACAGCTCCAAAACCATTAGAGGTGTGGAAGGTGGTGCAGTTATGCTGATTCTGATTTTGGTTCTCTCTCTGTGCTTCCACCCTCCTGGAGTGGGTGTGAAACTTGTGTAGAGCATGTGATTGTTCTCCCAGTGTTTTGTGTACAATTGAAACTAAAAAGTAAAAGTTTGATCAAATTTCATCTTTTTGATATTAATTTATCACCAAGGCAGAGTTTTTAAAATTAATTTTTACAACTTCTTAATCTTTAAGTTAATGAAAAATGTTTAAATGCAACTTAAGTTCCTGGAAAAACAGATGAGCTAATAGAGCAATCAGGCAACACTTCAGCTATTAATTTGTTGAGGTTTCACGACCCTACCCTGTATTTTTACTTGATGGTGCCTCAGGAGGACATCTGGGATGTGTGTATGTATGTACAGGGTGTGACTTGCCCAAGACTGATTCTTGCACAATGATCCTGTGCATTGAGGCTCCTTCATGAGCTCATTGCTGGCTCCTGGAAGAGCAGTTGTCCTTTCAGAGGCGTTTTTGCAGTCTAAGTTCTAATGTATCGTTTTGCTTAGCAAGAGTGGACCTCCTGTAGATTTGAAATGTATCTGCATCCAAAAAGTTGTCACAGCCCTCACAGAAGAATCAAGCTGCTTTGTCTCCTGCCTTTTTTGCTAGGTTTTTTTATAAGGTTTTCAGCATGACATCTGCTCATGTTGAGGATATAATTTGTTCAGTTCACTTCCATCAGGCAGACACACCATGGCACACAAAAGTGTGGTGGGCTAAAGGTGTTGCTAAGTATGCAGCAGGTAGCAAGTTAAACCTTTCATTGTTTTATCCTCTCAGTTGTGAAATATTCTTCATTTGTTATCTTTGCTTTTAATGAGTCAGCTTATGACCTTGCAGAGATTTCTGACAGCCTGAATTTGTTCAATATGAACAAATTATTGCAGAAATGAAGGGACAAAAGTGTTGTCAAGGAGACTTATTATTGATCATTTCACTGTAGAGGGATGATGATAGAGATTGGGTATAAATGATGTTTCATTGTTTTCTGAAGTAAAATATTTATATTTCTCCACGGAAACCTCTTCAACTCCCTTTCTACAAATGCTTTCTCTATAGCTCTTGTGGAACTACAAGCTGAACCTGACTACAGATCCAAAGTTTGAATCCGTGGCCAGAGAAGTCTGCAAGTCCACTATTGCTGAGGTAAGTCAGGAGGAAGGCATGGCTGCTCTTGTGGCACTGAGGCTTTTCTCTTTTTTCGTGAATTAATAGTTAATTTGCTAATTAATAGCGAATTAATGTGTGAATAATGATTTGGGAAAGCTCTAGTATCATATACCAAATTTGTACCTGTAATTAATTCAATCTCCTTGCTGAAGAAGCCAGGTACCTTAGTGGTACCAGGCAAAGGGATGGGAGAAAGAAATGCTGAACTAGCAAGCCACCAGCTCCTATCAGATCTTTTGTCAGAAATTGGTTGTGAATTGGATTTGTCCCCTCTGTATCATGTGTGTGACATTTTATAAGTGTGGTGTTGGAGCAGGGCTTCTGCTAAATTTAACATGAGGCTGGTTGTGGACTGTGTCTTGCTAGCAGAAGGGGTAAGCACACAGACATCAAATGATAATCAACTTGAGGGTTTTCTTAAAGTTTTAAAGGATAGTTACTCCAAGGAGACCATGTTAGGAACTTCTTTTTAGGTTGTGCTAGGAGTCTGTGCTCTGTGTCTCATACATCCACTCTCCTTGGTACAGCTTCAAAGATGATTTGATCAATCATTTCTTTCCTTGTGCTTATGCTTGAGCTCTTGAGGCTGTGAGCTTATGCAGGAGCCAGCTGAGCTGAGATCTCTTCCCCTGTTTGTGATGGTTTTCAGCTAGACTTCAGGGAAGCAGTGGAAGCAAGGCTCTCTGCAGCTGTACAGGCTTCAGCTGACTTAATTCAGTCACTGAGCAATGCTCTCAAAAACATGGTCTGTATATCCACCAATACAATGTGACCTAGCCATAAACTTGCCTTTTAAAAAAACACTTAGTCTGCTCTAGTGTAAGTTGTTTAGTGTAAGGAGAGATCAAAAAAAAACTTTTTAGAGGAAGGCTAGAAGATCAAACAGTGGAGGACAGCTTGCATCAAAGAATTGTGTTGTAGTTGGAGTTTGGTACCTCCCAAAAGCAAACACTGCCAAATCTGTTGAATCCCACTTTTTTTTGATCATAGAAAGGATCATATTTTTCTGTTTTTTGTCATATGGTGCTACAGAATTTTTACAACCAAGGCATTCTTGAAAATGCTCTTTTAATAGTCTGTTTAATTAGCATTTTTATACAGTGGCAGTCTGGCATTGCTGTAAACGATGCCCTGTAAATCTGGGATATTACTTTTAAAAGCAGTGGGAAGAGTATACATAATTTCAGAATTTTGCCATTTGGTGAGTGTTTTTTTAGTTAAAAAAAAGATTACATAAGGAACAATAATCTCGTGTTTGATTTTCTGGTGTTTAATACTGAGGCAGGTACATAAACCATTCCTGATATTTTTAAAGGTACTTCTACAAAACTCTTTTAAACAGATAAATAGTAGGCATATACTCCTCCCATACAATATTAACCTGTTAATATTTTCCTTAAATTGCCACTAACAGGTATAGGTGACTTTTTTAGGTGAATCAGCTCTGTTTAAAGTATTGCTTTGCACTAAGAACAAAATACAACTAGAAGAGCAATTCCTAGAAAAAGTCATTTGGGGAATGGTAACTGACCCAACTGAATATGGGTATGTTCTGAAAATTGCATCTTTAATTTTATCAGCTAAATAGAGTTTAAAATTCCAATTTATTTTCTTCTCAGCTGTTGTGGCTTTTATAAGTTCTGGCAAGAGCTTTAACCTAGAATTATGGTTGGCTACCAGATAACAGTGATTGCTTCAGAAGTGGCCTGGCAATAACATGTTCACTTGGTCCCTTCTGCAGTTCAGTGGCTCAGGCCATGGAGCTCTGGGGCTGTTTCCAAAGCCAGGCTCTTCCAAAAACAGCATGTTGCTGTTGTGGGCTGGTTGGCTCGTGGTACTTGAGCTGAAGTAGGGCCAAACCAGAGATGCAGCTTTCTCAGAGAGCACTTGCTCAACTCTGTCCTGTTCACCCTGCAAGGATCTTATGTGTTTTCACTTTAAAATGTATTTTGCACCTTATCTGTAACAATTACATTGACTTTAGTAACTGTTTTTCTAGGAGCTATTTAGATTAAATGTAAACTGTTTCACCAGCCCACATCTGCCTTCAAATAATGATGTTTAAAATGTTGAATGTTTTGTCACACAAAGTAATGGCCTCATAAGCTGAGGCAGAGATCTGTTTTACTCATCTAGTCTGACCTGTGTGAGTCTGTCACAGGGTGCCCTGAGTTATTCTTGTTTGAATTAGAATCTATCTTCCTAGAGACAGCTCTCCATTTTTCAAAATTTCCAATATAAATATTCCAACTTGGTATTTGAGAACTGATAAAATGGTTTCCTGCCTGTTCCCTTAGCACTGCCCTTGCTGGTTATCTGAAACTGCCAGAATTATTGATTGCCATAGATCTTCCTTGAGATTGATGAGCCCTTCAGTATTTTTACAGGGACAAATCTTTGATGCAATCAAGTCAGCCCATGTATCTATTCCTTGCAAACCTGTCAGCACTAAACTTTAGTGTCTGCCTGCCAGGGGTTCTTCCTGCACCATTATGACTGCAGTTTTCAGCACACTCCTGAGCAGTGGCCACCAGAACTGTGCAAGTATTTCAACATGGGCTTGCCAGGGTTAAAAAGTTGTGTAGTCTCAGTGCTCCTTGGAGCGAGGCATTGCACTGCTCCTATCAGTGATTTCTCCAGGGACCATCCCTAACTGATCAGTAACCATGTTTGCCCCTTCTTTTGGAAAGACACTGTCAAAGCTGCCTGCATCTTTTACTTCCAGAGGTGGTGGGTCTGGCCTGTCTACTTCCCTGAGCAGTGCAGGCTGTGATTTATATTGGGGACCTGTCTCTTCTTGTATGCTGCTTTTCCAATCCCTGCATAGCTTTCAGCTTTGGTTAGCTGTGATTTTTACTTTTTTTAGACCACTGAGTAAAATGGTTTTAGTACCAACAATCAGTTCATGCAAGAGCCTCATAGAAAAGAATTTGATGAGAATTTTCCTTTATAGTATTTTTCATCTCCTAGCAAGTTATAAACAGCTCTATAAATAGTGTTGACTTTTGAATCAGTCTCACTTCTGGCCAAAATCTTATATTGTACGAGGTCAGGGGGCTAATGGGGGTCTAAGTATGATTTAAAGATGTTGTAATGTTCTCAGTTTTCTAAATAAAGGTTTGTCAAACTAGCATTTTTCCTACAAGTCTACTTGATTGCAGGGGTTCAGTGTAATTATAAAAGACGATTATTGAGCAATAGAATTTATAATCCTCAAGGTCGCTGTGTTTGCTTTTTTTGGATGCTGGCACACATGAGATTTCTCATTTCTGAAATATTTTCAATTATTCTGACTTACTGGAAATCAAACTAAAGCCTAGAGGGTTTCTTTGCTAGCAGATTTTGAAGCTACAGATTCAAGTTTCTTTGAGGATTTTCTTATAAGGTTAAATAGGTTAAATTCATAAGCTGCAGCCACTGTAATTTTCCTTTTTTTTTTTTTTTTTAACAGATAAAGGAGTGTGCAGATGAACCAGTTGGTAAAGGGTTCTTGGTGTCATGTTTGGTGGATCACAGAGGCAACATCACCGAGTACCAGTGCCATCAGTACATCACTAAAATGACAGCCATTATCTTCAGTGATTACCGGTTGATCTGTGGCTTCATGGATGACTGCAAAGCTGACATTAATCTCCTGAAATGTGGCAGCATTCGACCTGGAGAAAAGGTACCTGGAGAACATGTAGATTGCCAATAGACTTGTAAAAGTCATTCACTTCAGGAAACTGATGCAGAGGCTCTGCAGTAGTATTACTGTCTGACTTGCAACTGAGAAAATTCATGGTGTATCTCATCTGTCTGAAAAGGGTGATGTCCTGATTGTTTGCAGTTCCTTTTTAATAAAGGTACATTTGTTCCTCTGTGAGGAACTGCTATGCAGAGACTTTAATTTGTCTTTCCACAGCCCACCACAGGTGATCTGGCAGGTAGTTGTCTCTTTGATGAGGCCTTCCAGAGCTTGACTCTATACACTGAATCCAAACAATAAATTTAAGCAGGTCTATTGCTTGGCTTATTCCACAGTCTGGTTGGGTCTGGCAGGAAGGTTATCAAGGTGATGATGCCTGTGCTATAACCCTTTCTGCTTTCTCAGGCTGTAGTTGATAGACTGGATCAACAGCTTTTATCTGTTTGCTTCTCCTTTCCTCTGCCCCTACAAAATCAGTGGAAGGGCACAGGGTGTGTGGTGTCACATTTTAGTAGTACACACTTATCAGTACTGTCCTGGTTTTAATAAATCAGTGTTCTTTTGCCTGTGAGACTTAAGCAGAAGTTGATGCAAAGAACAGTTTATAGTGACTGGATGTGGGATTATTTTCAAGGGACTGTCTTTCCCTGTTTACTTCAGCATAGCTAATGCAGCAAATGTGTAGTGCTGCAGGAATGAGTGACTTTTTCTATGATAAGTTTTTATGTTTAGGGATAATGTTAAAATTAGCCTACCAACTTTTTACAGTGCTTTCTAAATTACAGCTTTTATGCTTATAACAATTAGTCTCATAAATGAGCTATTAATGAAGGGGTTTGCAATAAGATACACATTTTTTTTGGTTAAACAAAGAAGCTTTCCTAGCTGTTTGGGATATTCACAGCTATTAGCAGCTAGCGTATTAAATTTATTTTCTAGTGTATTCCAGAAAACTTAGCTGAGCCAGAGAAAGCACAAAAATAAGGACTCATTTCTGGAAACAAGAACAAAAGCAACCACAAGCAGCAGGAACTTTGGTGCACTGTAGGTTCAGACTGGTAACAACTGAGTAACTTGCTTTATCCATAAAGTAAAGGCTCCTTTCTGATACTGGGCTGAAAGACCTCATGAAATGAGAATGAGAAATTGCTTTTAGCAATCAGTATAGAACCAGAAGTGTAACATGAATCCTGCCTGTCAGGTCTGCATATGGCTACACCATGGCTACACCAAATTTAAAAAAATTAAATGCTTATGGCAGCACTGAAGGGATACAGCAGAGGGGATTTTGTAAGCATAAACCAAATCTCAAATGGTGGGAGTGAAGCCAGTGTGGGCAGGCCTGTCTGGGTATCTGTGCACAACCCCTGCATTGGTTGGTTCAGGCAGGTGAAGGGGAAGGATAGCCAGGGTGGCTGAGGTCACAAGGCACCAGAGAAAGGGAAATTTTGGGTCACCAAATTTCTGTGGGCTAGCAAAGGGATCACTAACCAAACTTCTATGGGTTTTACTACGGCTCATGCATATTCCTCTCTTTCTTGGTTCCCAACCCAGAATATTGTGCCTTGGTTTGAAAAAGCATTGCAGCCTGTCATATATCTTTTGTTTTGCTGTCATCCTTGGCACTTGGAGCAATTGAAGTACTCTATACTGCTATGGAAACAGCTATAAATGGCTATGCAAGCATTTCTTTTGTTGGTGTTCTGTTCTATCCCTTTGCTGCTTCAGAGAAATCTAATTTGCTTCCATCAGATGCTGGTTAAGGTTTTATTTCCATGCTGTAGCTTCTGAGAGTTACCTGTAGAGAAATAGTCATTACCCTTTTGTATGACTGAAGGTAACTATGAATTTAATAAATAGGACCTGGACACTTGAGGAGGAGGATGGGGGAAGAGATTCTCTCTCTTTTTGTGTGGAAATAAGCACAGCTAGACCATGAACTCCATCTACATGAGACAGCTAGGGGATTGCAGTATGATAGCTTCATCAGAGTAACTGGGATAAACTGGCATTTTTAACTGTGAAAGACACTTAGGTTGATAATCTGCAATTACCTTGCCCCTTGAAGCTTCTCTGCTAGCTAACCTTGTTCCTTTTCTATACCTCCTTTTTTTGTTTAAACTTGCTTGATACTTCCTAATTGAATTCTGTTCTTACTGAGTTTGTTGCTTCTGATGTGGTGGTTTCTGTGTTTTTTTTCTCACACATTTCTACTTGGGTTTCTGCTCTGTAAGAGCAATAAAGTTCAGTTTAGAAGGCTTGATCTGACCCTAGACTTCATTTTGCTATATGTAACAGAAAGGCTGTAGATGTGTTATTTGAAGGCATTAAGTTTTCTAACATGCCTGTGTTTGGGGGGAGTATGTCTTCAGCATCTCCCAACTATGGAGAAACATTTAATAGTAGTTTCAGTCACCTCTCCATGTGGCTGATAAGTTTCATAATGAATTTGGTCTCCTGGTATTTTAAAGTTGTTTTATCTTCATGCAATAGGGATCTAATTTGAAATTGAAATGGGTAATTGCAGTGGAGCTTTTCTCCTTCAGCTGCTGATTGAAATGAGCTACTTTCCCTGGGAAAGGACCAGGATTGTATCAAACTCTAGTGGGTAGTGTGTAGTTGCCAGGGTGCTATTCAGCCATGATGTCCAAGCTGTAGCTGATTATTTGCCATAATGAAAGCTACGTAAGTGTCATTTGCACATCTCTTGTAGTACTTTATCACATAACAATATTTTTCCTAAAGGAAGACACCTTAGGAGACCATTGTTTTCTTGTTTTTGTTTTGTTTTTTCACCTCTAAGAGCTTTGAGTGCAGTTACTCTCTTTCCTTAGTTTCACAAAAGTACTGGACACAAAGGGAGCTGAATCTAAATGGGAAGAGATAACATTCAGCTCAGTCTTTGTTTACTCAGTGTAGCAGTGAACTATCATCTGAAATACTGGGAATTAGCTAATCCAAGAGACATCCCAGCATCCCTGGTGTTTGGGTTAGCCAGGTGGAATGCTGAACTGGAGCTCCCAGTACATCTCTTGGGTGATTTTCCATAGCCTGGCTGCTCTGGCTCCAGTGGGTTGGCACAACTGTCCAGTGCAGGGTGCTGTGCTGATGTGACAGGTTATATTTTACTCTCTTGCCTGCTGCTTCTTTTTACTCTTCATTCTCTTTTGGTCACTTTTCTAGCTTCTGTCTGCAAGGCTGCAGCTGGAACAGATGTGTACTTGAGGCATGTCAGATTTCAGACAGGATAAAATCTTTTCTGAGAAACTTCTGAAAAATGACAAAAAATCCCCAGTAGTTGCAAAGCCTAAACTATACTGGGGGGGAAAGTGAAATCTCTAATGGAAAATGAATAGTAAACCAAATGTTTTTAAAATTCTGTTATGGCCTAAAGCTGGATGCCTGGGGTTTGAATTTTAGTCATAGGAATTAAAATCTCCCAGTATTGTGCTGAAGGGGATTTGCTTGGGCACATACATTTAGAACTAAATTTCATTCCTCTGTGGCTCAGAGTGCTGTGGGTCAGTACTGAGAAGCTGCTTATATCTTTGTGGATCTAGGTATATCCTTTCATAAAGCTATGAAGAGTTTCAGGGCTCTCCAGACTAGATAATTATCTAGTATGTTTTACAGATATTTGCAACTTTCAGTTAAAATCCTACATTTAAAACTTGATAGTGGTGGTGAAACTGTGTGCCAGGAACCACATGTGGTTTTTAGATTTGATCTCTTATATTTCAGTGCTCAGAAAAATGAGGCCTAAATGAAATGCTCTTGTATTTCATTTTGCTCCAGAAAAATGAGGCCTAGACTTTGTCAACAGGCAGCAGTTTTGCAGGAGTCCTGACTTCTGGAGTCAACTTAGAGGTTTTCAACTCTGCAATGGAGGTTTTCTGAGAATGGGTCCTGGATAGAGGAAAATGGTTTTTAGGATTCATTCCCCAGCAGAGCTGCAGGAGGTGTTCCACCCTTGTACACACCAGGCAGCTGATGCTGGAGCAGGACTGGGAGAGCTCATGCTGTGGGATGATCACCCTTGACTTTGGTGCCTCTGATGCTGAGCTGACCACCCAGGACTGCTGGCACATGGAATGCAGGTGGGAACAGGCATCTCTGGGTGGTGATGCAGGTACCACCAGTGTGTGTCAAAGTTGTGCTGCCATCCTTGGCACGAGCCTTGATTGCCAGCTGCTTTAGGGTGGTTGAGTGCAGCTGTACACACATTTGTTTTCCCTTTCAGTCTGCAATAAGGATTGTACAATATTAAATACAGTAGGTGTTACCCTATAATTAAAGCTTGAAGTGGTATTTCTCTAAACCATGTTTGTAGAGTCCCATGCTCTGTTTGGCAGTAGTGTGGGTGTCTTCCTGCACTTTTGAGGAAATGAAGAGTCAGGCTCTCCTTAAAATTGCTTAACTAGTCACCACTAGCACTCTAGGGACCTGATCTGCCTGAGAATGAACCCCAGATTAGGCCAGTAAATCTTCCAAACTGTGTCATGTGGGCACAGGAACCTTAAGGGCACCACAAGGAGGTGTGTAAATGCTTGATGGCTGGAGGAAAGGGCATGTTTCAGGGGCCACATGGGTTGGTTTGTATGTGTTTCTGTTGAGTCTGACGTGTTTTAAAATTGCTCTGACACAGGGCAGTAGAGTAGCCAGCACTTTGGATGATCTGCCCAAATGTGAAATCTCTATTAGCAAAGGAATGCAATAGATGAGCCATTTCATGTTGTGTCCCCAAAGTGTAACAGTAAACATCCAGCATATGGAAACCTGCTTTCCAGATTTCCTATTAAAGATAGGTTTACTTACATATATAATATGATTCTGACCAGGAGTCTAAACCCACTGCAGTAAACCAGGAAACTTCTGATTTTCCTAGCAGGAAAAGCTTGCCTTCTGCCCTTCTTGCTAGCTTGCAAGGGAAAGCTGCAGGTGAGTGAAAGTAACCTTGGTCTGCCTTGCCTCCCAGCTGCAACTTCTCTTAGGCAGGAGCAAAAATGTGCCACAGGAGCTTAAAATGGTTGTTTTCTATCATTCACACTTGACATCATCTCAGCTGTAGTTACTTCCTGTGACTGACCATGACAGTTTGCAGAACAGTGTTTGTGTTTGATGTGGTTATGGATAAATGGCAATTTTAAGTGATGTGGCAAACTTACTTCTGAGTACTATTCCTCAGAATCCAGATTTGAGGATCAGTCCTAAAGGGACTGTTGATATATAATTACATTTCTTCAAAGATACTTACTCAGCATATGGAATTGGCCAGTTCTCACTCAAAGAAAGGAACAAACCAAAATAAGGAGTTTTGGGGGGTGTAGGTTGGTTTTCTGCTTTCTTTTTTTTCTTGTAGGGGAAAGCTGCTTTTAGCTTTTGTAAACTGATGATACTTCTGGGTTGTGTTTACAAGTTAACAAATAATCAACCAGTTCTGCTTGTGCTCCAAGTGTAGCAGACCTAAGACAGGAATCAAAGGCTGCCTGTGTAAGCAGACACGTCAGAACAAAAAGACTGGGGAGAGTTGTGTGGCTTTGTGTATCATGGGCATGTTTTCTGGAGACTGCTCTCTTACTCATGCTCCTGCAGCAGCAGTGGATGATCTGCTTGACAGAGCAAGCTGAAGGGATGGCTCCTAAATGGTGACTGCAAATGCCAGGCTGGGTGATTCAGCTGAATGTGAGCATGCATGCCTTGTTGCATATTCAGACAGTGTAAGTTTAGTGGCAATATCCTCTCACAGCAGAGCAGCATTAAATAAGGTGGCCTTCACATGAAAAACTTGCAGAAGCCTTGAGAAATTCGTACCTGCAGAGTCCTTTAGAGGAACCAGACCTTCTACAGGGGTATGGAGGGGGCAGGGTTCTCTTTCTAAACACATAATGAGGATATAGAAAACAAAGTGGAGCTTTGCTGAGCTTTGCCCTGCCTCTTCCAGGCTTTTGAACAAAGCACAGGCTCTCTGTGTTTATTGGCAGTTACTGCTCATAGTCCAATATTGTCTCCAGGCCCTGCAGGACAGTGGATGTGGTGCACTGGGCCAGAACTACTTTGTCAGAGACCTCTGTCTACTCTTGAATGCTTTGCAGTTTTTTATTCTCCTAGTGGAGGAATTGAGAAGCCTCGATTGGTCAAAGCTCCTTTGTGGCCTTTTTTACATCACAAATTTTCACCACCCAAACTGAAGGCTTGGCATGGCAAAACTATGATTTTTCTCTCCCCAAGCATTTTCTTAATGTGATGCTGATCCTTGCTGTTGCCATGGTGCCAAGAAAGCTGTGTCAGATTAAAGATAATTTGGCTGTTTTGGTAAACTGCTCTGAGCAGTGTGACTAAGTAGTGATAATCTCATTAAGTCACATTAAAACAAGCCCAGAGCATTGGAGGGGCGGATTTCATGGTGACCATCAGTGGGATAGTGTTGTATAAAGTGTGGTTAGTACAGGTCTTAATTGTTGCCTCCTCTGAATTTAAATGAGGTTTAGGCTGAATGTTGGGAAGTCTATCTATATGTAGACAGTTTGTTGCTTAATTAATGTGCTACTTAGCCAGAATCACAGCTCACTTGATTATGTAAAAGCTTGGTTACAGGTCTCTTGTTCTCTCATAGGATGCTCACTCACAAGGAGAGGTGGTGGCATGCTTGGAAAAAGGCCTGGTAAAAGAGGCAGAGGAGACTGACCCTCGAATCCAGGTTTCTGACCAGTGTAAGAAAGCAATTCTTCGTGTGGCTGAGCTCTCTTCTGATGACTTCCACCTGGACCGGCACCTCTACTTTGCATGCCGAGATGACAGAGAGCGATTCTGTGAAAATGTGAGTGCTTTCCTCTTCCTCTCTCTCTACAGGAATCCATTTAAAAAACCCAAAACCTCTCTGGACAAAGCAGTGAAGGGAACTGTAGACTGGAGCCTGAGTGATATTGTGTAATACTAAAAATAGACACCCTGTAACTGTCATTTTGCAGTAATTCCAGCATTAATTCATTCACTCTACAAACACACATTATTCCCAACGGGTTAGTGAACTGGATTGGCATAAATGGTTTAAGGGGCATGAGAACTGGTGTGACAGGGAGTGGGGGAGGAAAGGCAGAAGTGAGTGACCACTCCTTTCTACAGCTGTGAGCTGTTGCACAAAGCCTGGCCTGGCTGTACTTGCAGCACTTCTTATGCCTAGCATGAGCTGCATTGTTCAGTCTCAGCTAACTTGTATTAGCTGAGAATTGTTACACTGAAAGGGTGATGAACATGACCAGATTATTTTTATGCAATAAAATTTAAAGGATTTTTATTGCATAGAAACTATTGCTGTCATTTGAAATATTAACTCGAATATATTACTAGTTTAAAAAAAATCTCCTCAGGTGTAGTTTAGCCTGCTTGTCCAATATTACAAGTATTATCTTTAAGGGTAACTGTTACTGTTCTGTTTCACAGACTCAGGCTGGGGAAGGCCGAGTATACAAGTGCCTCTTTAATCACAAGTTTGAGGAATCAATGAGTGAAAAGGTAAGTATCCTGGTGAGACAAATCCTTATTGTGGAAATCATCAGATCACTCCTCAGTCCAGGCTGCATTATTCTTTTCCAGTGTTAAGGAAAATGTCATCTTCCTAGCCAGATAATCAGCTAGTTTAACAAATGCTTTTACTTTGATATTTTTGTGTTTCAAGTTTCAGTCTTTCAAGTAAAGGATTTAAATAAATCAAAGCTTTTGGGTGGGTAATTTGGAGAGGCAAGACATGGAGCTCAAGTGGTAGCATTGTGATTGACTGTTTAAAGTAGCAGTCACAGCATGCTGGGGTAAGCCTTGGATAAATGGTGTTCTAATTGTACAGATTAAAAACAAAAGGAAGCTGAGTTTCTTTCACTTGTGTTTTTGAGGCTGTTTTCAAGCATCACATTCTGTGTGGGAAGGATGCACGGTTCAGTGACTGAACAGAAGTTTTCCTTCTGGTTTTCTTGAAGATGTGGTTTTCAACAACAGCAAAAAAAAGTTGTTCTAGAAAGCTAGTTCTGAAAAGGTTGTATTGGTGTAGGTGCTTTGTTAAGGCAGCAATGCCTTCAGTAATTTTGGAAGCAGCATCATAGTGTCTGGGATTATATGGAATTGTAATCTGTAGGGAAGGATGTGAAGATGAGTATCTGTAAAGATCTCCTCAAAGAAGGTTTGCTGAAGGAGCCTGACTCAGAGTGCTGAAGGGATCAGACTAATTTCTTTTTTGTTAATTGCATTAGCTGTCTGACAGCTTGGTTCCAATTAACAAATTCAAATCTGAACAAGTGATCTCTGAGGGCTTTAAACAAAGCTCCATTTTGTAGCAGTGTGTTACTGAAATGAACTGCTGCTGTTGCTTAAGCTCTGTTTAGTTATACAGGGACACTGGTAGTTTGTGAAGGGTGTTTTCCATGATCAGCTGACTGAGGTATGAATGTGAGATGCAGAGAGGTTACACTGAGCTGCAGCAGATGACTTCATAGAGAGGGAGGGAGGGGTGGATGCTCTGAGGACGCAGTTTGCAGAGCAGAAGGAGCACTAAATGTAGTTCTCACTCTTGTAGCTGCCAAGGTTGGACCATCTGCAAAGTCACTGGTTCTGTAGAAGCTGTTACCCAGCAAAGAGTCCCTCCTTGCCAGCTGCTGCACACACATGTAGCCAGCAATAGCTGCTGGTGGGTGGCTTGCTTTGGTCATCCAAAACTGGCTCCTGGGCTGTATCCAGCCTTTCCCTGCTTCAGGTGATGAGCTATCTGCAAGCCTGTATCTCCCTGTATCCAGAGCTGGAAATTTGTCCACTCCCAGGGTCTGGGACTGCATAGGAGGATGAAAGATGGAGTGGGAATATCTTGGAGTAGGACTTTCCAGGTCCTCAAGTAGGTGTGGGAAGAAGGGGGCAAAGTCAAAAACGTGATGTAAGAAAGTGGGGAACAGGTTCTAGGACTTTCCTGTTCCTTGCACCAAGATTGCTCCCTCTTTCCCCTACTCCACATATTCACTGTTTTCCTTCCTTTCAAGTGGGCTGGGAATGGACAAATTTGCTTGAGCTATTCTGAGTTATCTGCTGCCCTCAGATTTAATTTTCACATAATTTAAACCAAAAGCTATGAAATGTAGCAGTGTTTTTACAGGTCCTTTTTTGGTTGAAATTTAGAGGGTTGTTCTTGCAGCTGCTGGGTTCAGGTTTGGCCACAGTGCATCCTCATGAACCTCATCAGTTGTGGAAAATGGCTGGAAATTCCCACGGTTAGACTTTTATCTGCTATCATCTGCTCAGCGCGTCGCGGAATAAATCCAAGAAACGCGTTATTTTGTAAATGCAATTGGAAAAAGTTATTTCTTGAGGGCATGGGGTGAGCATGTACCACAGCTGGGATAAATGTCAGCAACTGCTCCTAGTTACCACGAATGAGTCACGCTCTTCACAAAAAGCTGGATGAATGTGCAGTTCTGAGAACTGCTCTGCAGAGAGCTGCTCCCTTTGAAACCCCTGATCTGTTGACCTTGGTGTGCATTGTTAACTGTGTGGTTTCTATGAGACAAATGAAATTTAGCTGCAGTCCAGCTGAAATTCATGAATTTAAAAATGTCGGTTGTTTTCTGAGATGCAACTTGAAAACTTGCCAGCAGCAGGTTCAGCTCTCTACCCCCAGCACAGAAGCTCATTCACCACTGCAATGTGTCTCCTGCAGTGCCGTGATGCGCTGACCACCCGCCAGAAGCTCATTGCCCAGGACTACAAGGTCAGTTACTCGCTGGCCAAGTCCTGTAAGAGCGACCTGAAGAAATACCGCTGCAACGTGGAGAACCTGCCCCGCTCGCGGGAGGCCCGGCTCTCCTACCTGCTCATGTGCTTGGAGTCTGCTGTGCACAGAGGTAAGTGCAGTTCAAGACTTGCTGGGACCTTGATTTTAAATTCAGGGACCTTCTGCTTTGATGTGTATTTACAGTCCCCTTCTCCTCTTTCCAAACTTTGTTTCCAAGGCAAATTTCCTCATCACGGTGCTTTCATCGCTGTTGTTTTGATGATCAGAATAGCTGAGTAACCCCCTCTGCCACTGACTCCTTTTGTGCAGACAAGAAGTTTAAAATGCAAAACAGCAAATCCCACTTGGACTGCTGATGTGTAGTTGCAAATCCTTCTATTCACTGTGAATTCAAGCAGCTCTTTTCCTCCATTGTGTAGTAAGCATTAAATATGCTACAAGGTTAAAACACAGAATAGAGAACCTGTTTATCCTCACTCAGGGAAAACCAGGGATACTAAGTCCCCTGCCTGTTGTAAATAATGTCTTTTCTTGCAGTTCACTAGCTTGAGTAAATGCCTTAATTTCTCTGACTCTGGTTTTTCCCTATATAGAAAAAAGGTAAGTGTGAGAATATTATTTTTGATCATTTAAGTTAACGTAAGCTGGAGGTGTCCTAACATCAGCTGCTGTCTCCAAAGGCATTAGAAGGCTCAGTGCAGCTGGACCGTGCTAAAGGTTCCCTGTGAAATTGCCGTAATATGAAACAATGTGTTACATCCTCTAGATCTGCACTGTTTGTTCCTCTAGAACTGCTTGTTTTCCCTCCTGGCATTCTGCTGGGTGGTTTCAGAGTGAGCAGCAGGGCTGCATGCTGCAGTGCCTCTGGCATGGGATGAAAAGGCTGCCGTAATTCCATAAGCACTCTGCATTTGTGAGTTTGGATAACTCATTGCTTCTGACTGATGTGGAAATGATGTGCCCTGTTTGTAGAAAAGTTGTGGTTTGGGGTGTTTGGTTTTTGTTTGTTTTGTTGTTTTTTTTCCCCACTTCTCCCTGCAGTAGGGCAGGTGGTTTCCTGAACTGCATGCAGAAAACTGCTGTTCAGCCATTCAATTTCATGGTGGAACAGGTTCTGCTGTGTCTCATGCATGAGGCATAGCCCAGGAGGAACACTAATTATTCCACACAGCACCATGTACATGTGTTACAGCACCTGGCAGCCCCTGTTGGGGTGTCCTCTGTTCCATGAGATGTTGTGCACATATAAATAGGTTGTGATGGGCACTGCAGGAAAGCTCATAGCAGATCTAAGCATTTACTACAGCAATATTCCTGTGCAGCTGCAGTGGTTTGTTGGACACTCCATATACACTCTTTTTTAAGTCTGAGTTTTGTCTTCCTGAGCATTTATGCACTATTGCCCTAGAGAACCTTTTCATTGGAGAAAATGTTTAACCTGCTGTCCAAACAAATTCCTCTCCCAGTTACATACCAAGCTGGTGAGCCTACCAAAGGTGACTTCTGTGAAAAAAGGAACCCTTGAGCATGTGGGGAAAAGCTGACTTGTGCTACAAAACTGCAGATCCATGAGTGCTTTCAGCTGTTCTTCATAAGCCACTCGTGTAATGTTAAATCCAAAATCAGATTCTCCTAATCTTTCAGGCATTCATTTTTTAAAAACCTGTGTTAAATCCATGGACTGGCTCTATTTTACAGGATTGTTTAAAAGACAGGAGCTACCACAACCACTGGTTTATTCCTCAGCACGAATGCTCCAGCACCTTTCTCTTAGTCTGGTGTTGTTCAGAGCGTGGACATGTCCCTGCTGGTAGCGCAGGTCTGCTGAGGAGGGCTCTGCTAAGCATTGCTACTAAATCACATCATCTTCTCTTGCTCAGGTCGACAGGTGAGCAGTGAGTGCCAGGGTGAGATGCTGGATTACCGGCGCATGCTGATGGAAGATTTCTCCCTGAGCCCCGAAATCATCCTGAGCTGCCGCGGGGAGATCGAGCACCACTGCTCGGGGCTGCACCGCAAGGGCCGCACCCTGCACTGCCTCATGAAGGTCGTCCGTGGTGAGAAGGGCAACGTGGGCCTCAACTGTCAGCAGGCAGTAAGGAGCTTCTTAGCACTTCACTCTGTTTGCTCAGTTGGTAAAAGCACTGATTTCTGTCAAGGTTTTGCCTTGTGATGGAGGTTCTGCTGAAGTCAGCCTGGCTCTGCTGGGTGCCACTGAGTGCTGGAAGCAGTTGTGTAATTGCCCTGCTGTGAGCTTGGTGTGTAGCAAGGGTAAGGGTGGTGGTTTTCCCCTCAAAAAATACATTTTGGATTGTTGTGTCCTAGGCTTTTTATTGGATCTTCTGTAGTTCTTCTCCACCAGCTTTGAAGTAATGGAATTCTCTCCTGGGTGCAAGGTGTAGGGAAACTTGCCTTTTATAGTTCTAAAACATTCCTTGTCCTTCCCGTTTCTCCCTCTCCTTCCCTTTCCCCCCTGTGCCCTGTCCTTGGAAATGCACAAAACCTTTCAAAGCACCTTCCCTCTCAGTTTTACTTTTGCTATTTCATTCAGCTTTAATGATGGAAATGGAACTTTGGGGACAGGGAGGTACAGCAGACTGCTGTGTGTTGATGTACTTGCAGCCACTGAAGGAAATGCCATTTTCCTCCAAACTACCTTTGTAAAATAGCATATTTCCTTTTGCCTTTTTTTAACTCCATTTTGGTCCAAACACATCCTGCTTATCATTTCTTTCAATTGAAAACAATTTAATTTTTGTTCAAACTGAATAGTGCTTTTTTAATATGAAATTACATTTTTGTACTTAATGCTTGGTTTTGGTTTTAATGATCCATGAGCCCAAAAAAGTGACATCAATGATAAAAATGGCAAGGGAGTGTTAGTGCTAATGTTGGAATTTGGGGAGATGTGTGCTCTTGACTTCTTTTAATAAACAGAGCCACTATTCTGTACATTTTTGTTTTAAATGTAGCTTAAAACTTAAGCCTCAAATGATGCTAGATGGTGTGTATTATCAAAGATAAATTGATAGCTGTTAAATTTTTGTAAGTCACAGGGTGCTTTTGTGATGAAGCTTATTTCTGCATAAATACCAGGTGTACTGGTGCAGCAGCTGTACAGTTTGAGTCATTCCTGCAGGGATCTGTAGTGCATGACTTAAGCTTTGCAGCCTTTGTGTGAAAAACTGAATATTTGTTTCTGTTTAAATAGGAAATTGAAACTGCTGCTTCAGAATTTCATTATTTGGAAATATTCATAAGATCAGTTAATATTGGGAATAACTTCTAGATCATGACATGCAAGTCATTAATCAAAACAGGATCACCCCAAAGTGATATGGGATTTCAAACTTTCAGAGAAAAATATCTTTAGAAGTTTAGGGCAAGTTTGGAGGTTTTTTAGTTCTCTTTTACTTAAGCTGCTGTTTTATTTTTTTACAGTAAGTTGATGCAATGATAAATAGGATTGTCCATGAGTCCCCTTCAAGTTAAATGTGTTTTGTTCTCTGGGCAAAGGACAGGAGAAAGCAAATTAAATGTTGATTTTATACCTTCGTTTAGCTTGTCTGGATTTTTATGGGAAGGAGGAAATAGATGATTGCAAGAACAGGATAAACATTCCAATGTTATGAGTTTCTGAAGACTGACACAGTACTACTATATAGCTGCCTACAACTTCTGAAATACTAAATAATTTATTGTTCTTAATTTTTGTATTTGAATGGTAAGGGTTGCTCGGCTGTCAATGGCTTTGTTGTGTTTTGACTTAATGTGTTAGAATGAGCTTTTTGCTTTTACTTTTAAAGGTAGATAAATTATCTTTGCAAGGAAGAGAATATTGTGTGAAACTCTAACAGATACTGTGCAATTTGGGCTGGAGGCTTCAACTGCTTGTCACATGAGTTGGCCCATATGGCAATCCCTGAAGAAGGGAAGTTAGAGATCCATCCTTCAGGGTCAGCTGGGGCCATTTCAGTTCTTTTTGGGTAACTAGAGAGCACCTTTGGTGTGTGGTTAGCTGTGGCTCTTGATGGTGGAGCAGTTGTCTGTGGTGCCCCTACATTTTCACTTGCAGAAAGAGAAGAAAACAACATAGATGCTCTGGGGTGCTCCCAGCAGAGCTTGCTGCAGTGCTTTGGGTCTATCTCCAGATGTTGTCTTTTCTATAGAGTCAAAAACTCACATCCTTGTGCTTTTAGTAGTATCATTAGCTAATGCTAATACAGCACCTTGATTTCTTGGCTAACTCAAAGCAACAGGTGTTGTGAAATTCTTCCTTGTAGAAGCTCTATGACCAGACACACCTGCCTAGAAAGTTTGCCAGAGGCAATTGGAAGGAGAAACTTCTGTTTTGGATCTGGTTTTACTTCCTGTCCTGACTGTGAAGGTTTGCTCTGATTCTGCTTGTCCTATGAAAGGAAGACATTAGCCCATCTGCCAGAAACAATACAAACAATTCTAAAACAACAAAACACAACCAAAGAACCTCCATTTCATTTTCCTGCAAGACCATTGGCTAGTACCTTTTCCTGCAGGTGCCTTATGAGTGATTATTTGTATTTAAAGCTTTGAACAAAATGCACTGTTAGACATTCTCAAACCCCAGTATTTTAATTTGAGAAGTTCCATTTCTTGTGAGACACCTCAGCCAGAGTGATCTTGCATGTGGGAGTCTGTGCTCACACCTAACTGCTGTTGTGCAGGAAGCACATCTACACCCAAATGTCAGAGCTGTGTGGGGGTTTAGTCTCACTTTGGGTAGTGAGCTTGCCAAAATGCCAAAGCTCTGTGAATGGTAGAGGAGCAATGGCTTTCTGTAAGTTTTCAAGTTCCTAAGTTAGAAAGAGGGCCCTGGGTGTGTGCTGAGCCTCATAAAGGATCCTGCCCACAGGGAGGGTGTGTGTGCTGTGGTGTAAGTCATCAGATAGGAGATAGTGTCACTTAATTGTGAGCATCAGCCCTTCAAAGGCCTGCAGCTGTACAGGCAGGGTCTAGCATCTCTGGTGTTGCTTGATGGAAGCAGTATTTTATATTAGAGCTGTTGATAAATTGTTTTTCAAATATGTGGCTTCTATGTTGCCCTGGTCTTACCTTTGGGGTTTTTTCGGTTCAGACCTTTGAGTGTATAAAACTCCAATCCCTGCTTAAAGGGCATATATTTCTTGCTTCCAACTTCTAAGCTGTTAAATTGGTAATTCATTGTAAATTTAGTTCCATGCCCAGGATAAAAGTTCAGAGCACTGTAAAGTTTATCCAGCTACTTTTCAGCTCTGAGGGTTTGTTGTGTGAGGGAGGAAAAATCCTATACAACCTTCACTTCTATCCCTGGTGCCAAATTATTCCTTCTTCCCCGCAGTCAGGGCAGCTGGCTTGGTGCTGCACATCATACATGTGGTTGAGAATTAAGGTCGGGAATTCTGCAGTAGTGCCCAAAACAGGGTGGAGGGATAAAGAGGTGCTTCAGTTCTTCTGAGCTGTTGTACCTGGTGTGCTTTGGCCTCTTCCACTTGATAGCAACAAAAATACCAATTAAGTGAAAGCTGAGAAAGAATCCTGCCTGCATAATGCTCTGGGCAGTTTGTTTTATCTCTGTGCGTAAGAAAGTGTTGGGTTTGAGATTCTATTCACTCATCTTTCTGCTATGTAAGTCACCTTACTTGAAGTAATCCCAGAAGTTTACACACACAGAGTATTCCCCATCCATGCAGGCTATGTGAGTTTCTGCACCAGCAAAACCATAATATTCTTCTTCCTCTTGCAGTGACTCTTATAAAGTTTGTAAAGAACACATCCACTTAAGGTTTGACCTTCAGGTTGTGTTTGACCTCTGTTGAGATGTATAAAATGCTTCTATTATTATTGTTGTTGTTATTATTATTATTATTATTATTATTATTATTATTATTATTATTATTATTATTATATGAAAATATCCCAATAATTTTTGATAAATAGTGCTCTTCTCAGCTGCCTGCATCCCTTAGAAGCTGAGGCTGGGCATAGTTAAGAGCAAGTTGCAGGAAGTCCTGTGTTCCTCCCAGGCAATCTGTGGTCTCTCCTCATGACTGCAAGTTTCCTATTGGATAAATAGAGCTAGCTTGTATTTTCTCCAGTTCTCTGAGGCTTCTTCCTTGCCTGTGTTTTGTGATGTTAGGCCTTTGCCCCTGAGAGTTTCCTGGGGGTGTTTAGGTGCAGACTTTGAAAGGTGGGGGATAAAATTGTAACTGTGCTTTTGATTTAGTTGGGCTAAGGGCCAGTGACAAAAATCATTAACTGAGTGTCAAGATGTTAAGAGCATATAGACCATTTGATGTTGGTGTGCAGTTGCCTTCTCAGCAACCTCTCTTTTTCCCCCTCCCCTTCAAATTTGTCAGCTGAAAATGTTTGCCTGCCAAATGATGATTCCAATCTGCCTTCCATCAGTCTTTGGAAACCCACAGCTTGATGGAAAATGAAGTAGGGCATGGGGATCCTTGGCTGAGTTAAGGTCCAGAAGCTACCCTTGTCCCAAAACTGAGATTTACCCAAATTCTCTTCCCCTGGCCCAGCAGACACTTCCCAATTTAATGTTCAGATGGTATGGACTATGTCCACATTTGATTTTGTAACATGGTGCTAAACATGCTAAGTGATGTTTCCTTATTAATAAGAGAATTGTTTTTCTGCAGCTTTTGTCAGAATACTTGTTTCACAAGAAGAAAAAACTTGATAGAACTGTTCATACTGTATTTACCTATGACAGCTGAAAGTATTTAGAAATCATATAGGGAATGCTGAGATATCAGCTTTGGGTTGGCACACCTCATCTCTAAATCTTTGGAATATTTTTGTTTTCATCTTTCACTTACACTATGACTTCTCCTGAGTAGTTAAAACATGATGTCCTGGATTTATTTTATACTTTAAACACACACACACTAAAAAAATGTGTACTACAGCCCCTGACTTCCAAAACCTTGAGCAGGCATCCCTCAGGAAATGTTACTTCATGGAACATCAGAACAGGACATTTTATCCTGTATTTCAATAAAACTTTTTGTCCTCTCCAGGCAATTAAAAAACTGGTTTATACTTTGTAGATAGGCACACTATCTTAAGACATTGATTCAGGTTTCAGTTGTAAATAGTATTCATGAAAATACAAAAAAATTGTGCATTTGGTATTTTCAGCCTTACAGAATGAGGCTACTGTCAAAGCTTAAGACAGATCAAAAATACAGTAGGCAAATCAAATTTTATCTCTTCTGTTCTGTAAATTGGTATGTAAGCAGTCCAAGTTCATGGCTGACCTTCAGTGTGTAACTGGTCTCATACAATGTTCCTGGGCTACTTCATAATGATAATTAGGGTCCAGCAGTGCTGGGGTTGGCGGCACAAGCTCTTAAAATAAAACACTGCAGAGCAGAGTTCATACATCATGGTGTTGTTACTGGCACAGAATTACCACACTGAGAGATTGTAAGTAGTCTCATTTATGTCTTTAACATTTGTTTTCCTGTCCACAATTCCTTTCTTCAGCTTCAAACCCTGATTCAGGAGACGGACCCCGGTGCCGATTATCGCATCGACCGCGCGCTGAACGAGGCCTGCGAGTCGGTGATACAGACAGCCTGCAAGCACATACGCTCTGGAGACCCCATGTAGGTGCCTCTCAGTCAGAACTGGGGCTTTTTTTCCTGTTGGGCGTCCATGAAGGTTGTGTGGCTGACCAGTAGAGACACTAAAACCTATCCAGACTAGTTACTCCAGACCAGTCATACAGAGCTGCACTGGGATGTCTCCATTCTTGCTGTACAAGCAGGCCAGTGTTGTTATGGGACTGGTTTGGCACTGGTGAAGGATGTAGCTTTCACAGGCACTTAGACTTAAGTTTGTAACATTTGATGTGCTAATTTCTCTAACCATGTAAGTCTCAAGCAGTATCACAAAGTGAGAAACCTGAAAGGCCAGATAAGCAAACCCATACTGCAGAGATGGGTGTCTCCTTTGTCTTCAGGTCTGATAATGTATTCTCCCCTGGGCCAGATTTTCGATGGAATACTCCTTATGATTTTGTTGTATATCAGACTTGCTGAGATAACTAAAACAATGGAACATAACAAACACAAATCTGATATACACTTGTTTTAGATGTAATCTTTTTGAAGGAAGAGAAAGATCTTCACTGAGTTTCAACGTCTTATCTCTGGGTCATTGGACGACTGATTTGGGAACACCAGCTGTTATAGGGAAGCTCAGCATGATTTTAACAGTCTGTGGCCTGACTTTTTCTTGTTTGCAGGATTCTGTCTTGCCTGATGGAGCACTTGTATACTGAGAAAATGGTAGAAGACTGTGAGCATAGGCTCCTGGAGCTCCAGTATTTTATATCTCGTGACTGGAAGTGAGTACTGTGAAACAGGATTTATCTTCACTTGATGTTTGTATTAAGTGTTTGTATGCATTAGCAGGTCCTTGTAAAACAGTAGAGCTTGTGGTTGTTCAGAAGAGGACTTTCAAGTATGCCAGGTCAGTAGGGTGTTAATGCTTGTGTAGAACACTAAAAGCAAAAGCTGCTTAGAAAAGGTGTGATGCCACTTAAATCAGGTACTTTTTTAGAAGTGATGCAGCCTTAAAAAGTTCTCAAGTTTGAGCTCTAAATTTGTTGCATCTTTAATTAAAGAGTTCTGTCTGACACTATTGAATACGAAGGTCACTTTCTCTGCAGGTGGCAGCCAGTTGTATCTACTCCAAGTGCTACAATACAGAACTTAAGGAAACAAAGTTTTTAAGTATAACAAAGACTCACTGTGTGAGAAGCTTCCTGCCTCCATTTCTGCATTTTTTTCAAATTCTCTAAGTGTGATTACAGCCTGTAGATGTAATACCCTTCAGAGCACTACTTTTCCATCTTTCTCATCCAGAGATGGCAGTGCTTTGTTTTAAATACATACAAAGCCCCTTGTGTCAGTGTTGGTTAGGATGAGGAGAGAATAAATTTGATAAACATGACCAGTGAGGAAAGAATAAGTGTTTGGCTTGTCTTCTAAGGAAGATTGAGAGGTGAGGAAATAGAGTACATTAAATGGGGTTGCTGCAAGAAATTGAATAATTGTTCTCAGTGGCCACAAAGAGTGTAAGGCAAGAAGTCCTGGGCTTTGATTACTGCAAGGAGTGTTCAAATCAAACGTTGAGAAAATCTTGACTCAGAGCAAGTCATGTATTTATGGACAGCATTGCCAGTAGCTGAAAACTGATGTGCTCTGTGAACCTTCTGCTTTTAAAGATGGGGCTTTATGGAGCAGGGAGTTTAAGGCTTTTTGGCTGTTCATTTAGTCATCTGAATAATTATCTCCATAGGTAGACAAGAATACTTAATTCCCCCCCCCCCCCCCCTTCCTGTTTATCTTCATTACTGGTCTCCTGCCTGTACTGTATCTAGCAGGTAATTCATTGTTTGAGTCAAACTTAAATGATTGGAAGAAGGAAGACTGATTATTTGCATTTTCCTGGGAGTAAGAATAATTCTAATTCATAATGCAGGCTGGGCAGCATTTGCTTATCTTTGTTTAACCACTGTTCCCCAGAACTGGCTTATGAATCTGTTGCACTGACTGTGTGCCTCAGACAGATGCACAGAGTAGAAGGGGTTTTGTTGATACCTTTATCATTATCTATATCATTGTGTCCACTGAAATCACTTGATTTTTTTTTTCCTGTAGTGTTTTATAAATACAAAATTTCCATTTTGGAAGGCTAGCAATACCTCACTTAGCTTTCATGTAATTAGGCTTCATCTTAAGAGATCTGTACTTATATGCAAAGCAGGGGGCACTGAGTTTGCAGTTGGCTCAAATCCAGGGCAGACAGAATCAATCCAACTCAGATTTTTATGGAAATGGTGTTTCAGAATGGCAGCAGTACAAAGTGGAAGATACTACCAAGCAAAATGTGGTATGTACCTGCCTTTCTGCTGCTTCAGGGCATCAAGGAGATGATTTCTTTTCTCATGTGTCAGCATTTGGCTGGCATACTGCAGAAGAAGATGGGAGGTGCTTCAGGAAGTGTTGAAAATTTGATCTGTAATTAAATATTTTGGTGTTACTTGGGGAGTTGATTCCAAATTGAGTTGAGGCCACCTGTCGGTTCAGTTGGTCAGGCACTGCTGCTGCGTGGTGTCCTGGTGGTGCCTGAGACTGCAAGTGGATTTTTTGCCTCCCGAGTATTTTGGATATGAAAACCATTCCACGTTTGAGTGAAGTGCCAGTGATAACTCCTTTGTTTGCAGGTTGGACACAGTCCTTTACCGCAAGTGTCAGGGGGATGCCTCCCGCCTCTGCCATACCCATGGCTGGAACGAGACCAGTGAGCTGATGCCTCCAGGGGCTGTTTTCTCCTGCTTGTACAGGCATGCATATCGCACAGAGGAGCAGGGAAGGAGGGTGAGTGCTCATGGACACCTTGTTGCTTGTTGATCTGTGGTAGAAGGGTTGCACACGTGTTTGGAAGTTTGACACGCAATGCTAAAACTGCCAGAACTCAGACAAGCAACTTGAAATAATTTACTGTAGGTGGTGGTTGCACTGCTTTGGGTGCCCAGCTCCTCCTCAAGGGTGTCCTGAAGGTCTGGGTGGTTGTTCTGGTGAGGTGGAGTAGGCCCAGCAGGATGACTGACCTGTATCACAGGCCCATGGGGAGAACTGTGTGCTGACACCAACTTACATTTCTGTTCAAACCCAGTACAAGTCCTCCCTCATGTTTTTCCAGAGAGGAATGTGATTCCTTGAAGACAGCCAGCATAGATGCAAAACTGGTTTTATGCAAAAAGGACTTTCAAGATCAGTTTTCCTTGGCTGTTTCTACTTAAGTTTTGATTTTTGCCCAGCTTCAGATTATATTCCATGTAGTTCTTCCTATTGATATAATGCATCCTTCCAGTTCTTTGGAGCATGCTGTACTGGTAAATGTGCTTATGCTGTCTTTGAAGACAACAGTGGGGATCTGACTTGCTGCCCTGCAGTCTGGAGATCCACCATAATCACATTTGTGGTTGAGAGCTCCTCTTTTCAAGTTTGCTGCCCTCTCGTGCCTTTAGCAGGGCACTCAGATGAAAGCACCTGGGTACTCAGTTCCATTTCTTTTGGCATGGTAGTGTACACAGTCCCTAGGAGTTGATGGGTTTACACAATGGTCCAGTTTAAAAATTAATTTCCACAGCTTGATTTAGAAGGTCTTTTGTGACAGAGGTCAAGTATTGATTGAAAGCATCTCTTTTAGGAATAATTTTTTTTAATGCAGTTTCTTAGTCTGCTGAGTTGAGACTTTTTCATTCCATTTTATATTAGTGCTGACCAAAGAAATCAATAGCCACCCTGCAAATAATCTATCAGAGAGAGAAAAGGTTTTTAAATGTGTTTTTCTTTTGGAAAGTAGGCTAAGGGAGCAGCTGTCATTTTAAAATTTAGTCTTGGAAGCAAACCCATGGGAGGTTATATCTGTATTTGTTTCCAGTGCTGTTGACAGAATTCTAGGTAACTTCCAGTGATTTGGATTTTTAAATGTATGAAGCTTTAAGCTTCAACTGGTGCATTTTAGGTCTGATAAGCACCACACCAGTACCCCTTGGTTTCCTACAGTTTGTTTCTTCCTGTCTTGCAAGTGCTGACTTTGATGTGCTGCAGTGGGGATTGATGAACAGATTTTACAGCTGGACTATGTTGCCTTATTCTGGGCTTCCCATTTGGTATTAAGGGCATGAGCTGTTTTGACTTTTTTCTCCACAGTGGGTGTGTAGCCTTGAGTGACGGTGTAGCCTGTGGACCTGTTCTGACATCTCTTTCATAAAGCAAAGTAGAGGTTTAAAAATATAAAATTTAACTTAGTGGAATGAGAGGAGTATCTATCTAAACTAAATGACAGAACTCCAAGCTCTTTTGGAGCCCTCATTTCTTGTGGGGGCCCTGGCAGGCCTGTGCTGAGCAGTGCAGAACATCTGTGCCTTCTGGGATTGATGATGGCATTTGTGGTCACTCTCAGAACCTCACCTGACAGCATCCTTACCTGTTTGCCCTGTGTGGATGTAGGGGCCCCATATGGCAAACACTCCCTGTTCTCTGTGCAGCTATCACGAGAGTGTAGAGCAGAGGTGCAGAGAATCCTCCATCAGCGAGCCATGGATGTGAAGCTGGACCCAGCCCTCCAGGACAAGTGCATGATTGACTTGGGGAAGTGGTGCAGTGAAAAGACAGAGACAGGGCAGGTACTGTGCACAATATCATTGCTACTTTGTTTGCAAAGCTGGATGGGTGGGAAAGACATAAAGGGGATAAAAGGATGTCTTGCTGCCTCTTGATAGTGGAGAACATGTTAAAAATTAGTGCAGTTTGAAACACAGTCTGCATCAGACTGAGACAGGTGGTGCAAAAAAGCTTTGCATGTTTAGATGTTAGTGGAATGAGAAGAGAGAAGGGCATAGTTTGCAAAAAGGGTTTTAAAGAAGCAACCCCACCTCCCTCAACCCTCTTAGTTACAATATTCTATTGCAAGCTTGATATTTCCCACATAAACTTTATCCCATTTCCATTTGGCAAATACTGACATGCTTCCTGTGTTTATACAGAACTGAACTAACATCTGCAACTACTTAACAAAGTTTCAGTAGATACTTCCATGTTAAACTGCTGTGCCTGGAGGGCTGTAGTGAAGGGACCATTCTGCAGCATGTGCTGTAGACACCACTGTCTTTCTGAACTGTCCATCATAGGCTGGGTAAATAACCTCTCCTTAAGCTTATGGAAAGGGCAAATTAAATGGGATATTCCAGAAGTGAAAGCACATCATGCAGCTTTTGAGAACAAGTGGTAAGGTAACATCCTAGACCAACATTTTCAGTCATTATTATATATATGTGTTCTGGGAGTGCTAGTAGGGAATGGGATTAAATGAAATTTAGGACGTTACAAAAAGGAGGGCAGTTTCACCTGTGTAACAATGTTTTAAGGCCAGAATTTCAGCTTGGGTTTTTGGACTAACACACTAAAATGTCTGTTTCTGTAGGAGCTGGAATGCCTTCAGGACCATCTTGATGACTTGGTGGCTGATTGCAGAGACATAGTGGGAAACCTCACTGAGCTGGAGTCTGAGGTGAGTGGATTTCAGCCTGGGGTAAAAGGAATAGATGAGCATGTCTAGTTAAGCATGCCATTTTAATAATGATGAGGAAACCTGAGGTTAGAGGAGCTGTAGAAATGCAGCTAGGATCTGGCATCAAAATACATCCTTTTTACCCCATACAGTGGAAGTTTTCCTGGAGGTTCTTGACGAAGAGAAATAACTAACAGTTCTGGATTTTAGGCTGTTGATGGCACATCTCCTGCTTTAAAGGTCACTTATGGTACTAAAACTAAGATTTGCACAGGAACCCAGTTAACTTTAATGCAAGTTAAGATATGTGATAGGACTTGAGATTTTGGTTTTGCTTGCAAATAGTTTTGAGTACTGTACTGCAGCTTCCCTCCCAGCCACAAAAATTTGGCAAGCAATAACCACCAGGTATATCAGTAGAGGTTTCCAGTGACTTTGGCAGCTTTACTTCTTTTATGAAGCTGCGTATTTGACTGTCGAGACCCAGACTGTTCCCCACATCTCTTAAAATTTACACTAGGGAAAGTGCCCTAGGGAAAGTTCCCTTCCAGCGGTTAGAAACTTGGTTTTCTCAGAACTATACCAAATCTTCAACTCCTGCCTAGGTGTAAGGTGATTTCTAATGCTCTAGCACCTAGTTTGGAGGAGAATGACTGAATTATCCAAGCCAGGAGTTTCTGTGGAGCCCAGGCTCTTCCCTTGCTGGAAGGTTTGTCTCGCATTTGCCATGTTGGCAAGAGTGAACCCCAGGATTTCCAGAGCTAAAAGGCAAAGCTGTCTGGATTGCATTTTTCAAAACTCTGTAAACTGTGTTGAGTTTGAGTTGTTATCACAGTTTTTTCCCAGAGTCTTTTTCTCTTGTGCATTCACTGTGAAAATGAAAAACTGTCTTTTCTGCAGGACATTCAAATTGAAGCCTTGCTGATGAGAGCATGTGAGCCCATTATCCAGACATTCTGTCATGTGAGTACACTGTAATGGTGTGAATATCTTTGAGGAAAAACTCAGTGGAAAAGATTAGAGAGTTTTAGTATTAGTTCTTGCTACACCTCAAAAGTAAAATCAGAGGTAATAATTTCCAAAAGTCTTTAATTAAAATATCACCCTCAAGTATAAATTCTTAATTCTACCTAATGTTTCTGCTGTTGTCAGAGCCCTAGCATAAAAGTTAGTTTGAAGATGAAAATTGCTCTGTAGTTGGCAAAAATCACTCTTTACAGTGAGTTAAATACTAGACTTTTTTCCTTCTCCTTTACATTCAGGCATGTCTAACCATTGTACTCTGTTCAGCTGCTGAAATAACTTCACTGGTGTAGGGCTGAGTAGTGAAAGAGCAGTGGAAGCCCCTAATTATAATATGTCATGTAAGCACTGAGTCTTTGCAGTGTGTTCTCCTGAGTCTGAAGTGTGTTTGTTTCTGAGATGGTTCTTTCCTGACCTGTACAAACATAGCTGTGTGCTGCAGTTGTGTGGTGCAGCTCGAGGGTGGTCAGTTAATAGTGAGCTCACCATGGAGAGTGGAACTGGAAGTTCCATATTCCCTGGTCACAGTGGGCTAAAAGAGTATAAAACCCATGACTTGTAAAAGCAGTTTATTTTTATTCCTTTCATCTCTTCTTCAGGAGGTTGCAGATAACCAGATTGATTCTGGGGACCTGATGGAGTGTCTAATACAGAACAAACACCAGAAGGAAATGAATGAAAAATGTGCAATTGGTGTTACTCATTTCCAGCTGGTGAGCAACGCTTTTTTCTGCTATCAGTGGAAGCCTGTTCTGTTCTTTCAGGGTATTGCTGGGAATTAGCTAATTTTGAAATTAGCTCCTTCTTTGGAATTGATTTTTCACTGTATTTAAAGAGCTCTTGTGAATTCAGACACTGGTATTTGCATGCCTGGTCATAAATGGTCACTTCTGGAGATGATTTTTTTTCAGCCCTTCCTACATCCCTGGTAGACAGGGTCCCAACTTCTTCAGCAGTGCAGCATTCCCCTTGCTTCCATATTACTAAGTTTGAACAAAAGTATGTGCTAATTGTGTGATTCAGCAAGTGTTCTTTTGGCCAGCACTTGGCTTTTGGTTTTTTTTTTAACTCTGGATGACTGAAGTTGTTTTTCTCCTCATTTCTCTCTTTCAGGTTCAAATGAAAGATTTTAGGTTCTCGTACAAGTTCAAAATGGCTTGCAAGGAGGATGTGCTGAAACTGTGCCCCAACATCAAAAAAAAGTATGCAGTTCTTGCCCAAACAGCAATCTGGTTGTATAAATATGTAATTAAGTGACAGGGTTTTTTATGATAAAAAAAATTCCTTTAAAGGCTGATTAGGTTGTATGTGTTCCCTTAGTGACTGTGTTCTGCAGATGTTTAAGGTAGAGGCCTGCCTCTTAAAATTACTTCTGCTTTGCTCCTGGATAGAAGCCTGTCCTCTTTATTTTACTTGCTGTGAAATTAACTAATATTACAATTAGTAGGTTGCATGTCCCAGGATGTCTTATATCCTTGCTAGATTCATTGTCTTCTAAGAGGCAGACTGCTTTTGTTCTAGTTGCTGATCTGGGAAGGGAAAATATCCCACTTGTTTTATCTGGTTTATTCACTGCAGTCTAAGGGATTTTTTTTAATGTCCTACTGCAATAGTGTAAGGCTAAATTACACACAAGGTCAGTCCTGTTTGTGGATAGCAAGACTATTTGCATTTTATGAGGTAAATGCCCTTCCCATAGTGTAAAAGGATTGCTTGCAATGCTATGTTGGTATTCACCATCATCTATTTCTGAGATGAAGCAAAGCTTTTCTAAAGTGCTGACATGACTTAAGAGCAGAAGTCTTGCTGGGCAGAGAGGTTGGTGGCATTTTGAATGTCTTCCTGTGTGCTGATCTAGAGTCCAATTTAGGTTTTAATTGTGATACAGTTACTTTACATAGAACTGTGCTCAGAAGTAAGCACAGATGCAGAAGAATTTTATACTATGTTTGGATTATTGGAGTCAGTTTCTCTGGTGTGGTAATCCAATATCAACCTTGGCTGGTCTTAGTGAAGGGTGTATGAATAAAAGGCTGTTTTCTTTTCTGCAGGGTGGATGTGGTGATCTGTCTGAGCACAACTGTGCGCAATGATACTTTGCAGGATGCCAAGGAGCACAGGGTCTCTCTGAAGTGCCGCAAACAGCTGCGTGTGGAGGAGCTGGAGATGGTAAACATGCCTGAAACTCTTGTTCTCCCCACTCTTGTAGTGATGTCCTTCCATTAAAGCTTCCTGGTTTGTCCACCTTTGGGGGGGAAAAAAAGGAAGTTTGTTTGTAAGATCTATCTTATTTATTTTTCCCCTTTTCCTACAAGGGCTCAATTGCCCTTCACAGTGAAAGTACTGATTGTCTGCTTTACTGCCTTAAATATAGTCTCATGAAGGCTAAGGCAAGCTAAATGGTCATTGGAATTTCAGCTAGAAGTGATTATGTTTAGTGTTAGACAGCAACGTGCTACACATTCTGATGTCCTTAACATCCTCTAGGAGAGAACAAAAGCTCCATTTTACAGACTGAGGAAACAAGCACAGATGAAGCAACTCAACTCCAGCTGCTTCAAGTTGCTCAATGGATAAATAGGAGTAGTGTTTGTTCTGGTAGGCAAAGCTGCCTCTCAACTTCCTGCTGCAGTGCTTGCAGTAATAAACTCTTAAGGTCTTTGTCCTGTAGATACTGTTTAAGTGTCAAAGCTTCACCTTAAGTAGGTCCATATCGGGAGAGGCAGTACTCTTGCCTTTGTATGGAAGAATTCAAATGTCGGGCATCACCAAAATCAGGAAACTTCATTCACATCCTCCAGATCATCTACTGGATGGGTGGCTGTTAATATGTCCTTTCATTTTCATGTGGAAAGTTTTTAGTTGTCTTGGACAGTTGTGATGATGCCCTTTTAGCAGAGGCATTGGAAATAACTTGCTAGATCTGTAATTTGATTTAAACTCTTTTTTCAGTCTAAAAAGCTGAGGGATTGCTGCAGAGAATTCCTAAGTTGATTTCCTAACACCACTTCTCACACCCAAGACCCTTATATTCAAAGAAACTCAATGCCTGTTGTGAGGGTTGCTTACTTTTTGTGAGTAGGGGTCTTCAGTTAAGAGTTAAAAAAGGGAAATAGTCGCAAGTCCTACTTTAAGGCTCATGTTGTAATTTTTCCTGCAGACTGAGGATATCAGACTTGAACCAGAACTGTATGAAGCTTGTAAAAGTGACATCAAGAATTACTGCCAGAACGTGCCCTATGGCAATGCTCAGGTAATGGAATTTATTAATAATTTACAATTTAATTTGTACTTTCATTTCAGAAAACTTTTGAAGAACACTTTTGCCCATGTAAGTGCAGCTTGAGATTTTCATTTTGATATCAGTCAAATATTTTGGTAGTACTTTGGAATGTTAATTTCTTTCTTTTCCACTGGCCCACTAGCATTAATACTGGGTGAATGCAATGCTGTGAGCCCTTCATTCTTCAGTTTATGCTGGTGTCAAGCTATTAGCAGCTGTTTACTGCAAATGTTGCTAAAGATTTTGTAGGCATAATGTCTGCAGGATGAGATTTGTGGTTCTGGAATAAGTCCAAGAGACCCTCTTCATCTCATTAAATCTTTGTGAGAAAAGATGAGCTTAAAGCAAGTCCTGGAAATAAGCATTGGTAATGACTTTGATAAAATCTAGGCATTGGGAACTGAACTGCCCAAATAAGATGAAGGTGGTCATTAGGAGAGCACATGGCTGTGTATGACAGAATTATATCTATCAACAGTGTGTCCATTATGCCTGCAATGTTGTCTTGTAGATTATTGAATGCCTGAAAGAAATCAAGAAGCAATTGAGTACACGGTGCCATCAGAAGGTGTTTAAACTGCAGGAGACAGAGATGATGGACCCAGAACTGGACTACACACTCATGAGGGTCTGCAAGCAGATGATCAAGGTAATGGTAGTGTGCTCGTTTGAGAGGGTGAGTTGGGATGTAAGAGCTCTGTCAGCTTTGAGCTTCCCATAAAGGCTTGTTACAACATTGCTGTGCTTTTTTCAGAAATGATTGCATTTTTGCGAAGTAATCTGTTTCTTAAATCTGAATCAGGCTGAGGTTTCTTCAGGGCTCTTCTCTTTCAACTTCCTGATCAAAGCTTGTGCACTAATAAATTTGTCTTCCCAACTGCCAGCAGAATTGATGAGGGAAACTGTGCTGAGGCTCCTAATATATACAGTTCTCATCCAGTCAGTTTGGATTTGGATTGGCTTTTAGCAAGGGTGAAGAAGTTACGATTACAGAGAAGAGTAAAATCTTCAGTTCACTGCTGACCTGGTGCACACAGACTTTTATCAAACTGGTAGGGCAGGCAAAATCATGGATAACTTCAAATTAGAAATGAAAGCTGGAAGTGGCACCATGTAGAAAGCAGCAGTGAATGTTCATATAAGACACTCTTTCACAGTAGCCAGAATTCCAGTAGTATTTGTGGTTTGTATGCAGTGACTCCATATTTTGACTGATGGCAGGGTGGCTCTATACCTCTCTGTTGGGCAGGTGACTATTCCCTTCCATGAATTTGAAGCTGGTGGTTGGGTTTGGGTTTATTTTTTTCAAGTGCTTTTAGTGATGCAACTTGTTGTGTTTTGGGGATTTTTTTGTAGCGGTTTTGTCCAGAGGCGGATTCAAAAAACATGTTACAGTGCTTGAAACAAAACAAGAACAGTGAAGTGATGGATCCTAAATGCAAGCAGATGATTACCAAGCGCCAGATTACACAGAACACAGGTATCTTCTTCTGAAATAATACCAGAACTTGCTTGCCTGAGACGTTCTGCATGGCTGGAAGAGTATCAGTTTTGTTTTATTCTCCTTTGGTGTTTTCTGTGTACACACTAACCTTAGTCAAGTTCTTGAGGGTCAGCATGTGTTGTTGAATTCTCCTTATTCCTGAAGCTCTTACCTCACAATTTGAAATTCTGTTATGAAAAATACTATTTTCCCCAAAAATTATGTTCCTTGATGGTAAAATGTCATCCAGGAAATTTCTATCCCATCTCTTTCGGAGTGCTATGCTCTGTTATCTGAAGAGATGTGTGCTCTAATGAAGTTCTCTCATCTCTCCTGGTTAGATTACCGCTTAAACCCCGTGCTCAGGAAGGCATGCAAAGCAGACATACCAAAATTCTGCCAAAATATCCTGAATAGGGCCAAGGATGATACAGAGTTGGAAGGTCAAGTCATCTCATGCCTGAAGTTGAAATATGCAGACCAGGTGAGTAGAACTGGTGTCTGCAAAAGAGAAAATGTGCAGATCATGCTGATCAACAATCATTGAATAACAAATCAAATTTGGGCTTGTGGTGTGTTCAGTGTATAGAACAGCTAAAGGGGCATTTTATGTTCCTATAGAAATATTATAGCATACAGGTTAATGTACAGGGTGGTTGATTCCCAAAGGTCATTGAGTGAGTTAGTGACTTTCTCCTCCAAACAGCGTCTCTCTCCAGACTGCGAGGACCAAATTCGAGTGATAATCCAGGAATCAGCCCTTGATTATCGGCTGGATCCCCAGCTTCAGATGCACTGTTCTGATGAGGTAGGAGAGTAACTCCATAGCTACTCTTTCAGGATGAAAGTTCCCTTCGTGTAACAGGTTTTTGTTTCTCAGAACATGCTTTCCTAATAAGTAAAACAAAAAAATCCCTTTGAGCTTCTTCTAGTTAGTCAGATTCTCTGCTGTGACTTTTATCCAGTGCACAAGAGTTGCAGTTTCCTGTGCATTGCTAATATGAAGTTAATTATTTCTTCTGGGATTTTATCAGTACTTGTGGCTATGGAAGAATACTTCTTTCCAGTTGTCAAAAAGAAGTCAGCTCTCTGGTTTTGTCAGCCTTAACTGGAATACAGTCAGGCTTTTTGAGTTTTCACTTTTGGTAACAGAGTTGGTCATGCTTCAAGTGTTACTTATTTCATACTTGCACATTCTTTCCATGCTGTTTTCTTCCCTGCCCTCCTCCTCAGTACAGTGATATTGACTTCTTGCTGCTGGCTTTCAAAGGGTTATGCATATTGCATGAGCCAGGCTGCATTTGGCTTTGGGGATTTTGGGGGGGAAGGAATCTCATCATGTATTCTTCAGCTGCACCCTGTGATGAACTAACATATTGAGATATAAAAGTGCTAAAAGGCAAGGATGATTGTTGTGAACTACTTATGTTAAAACACCTCTTTCAAAATAGATTTCCAGCTTGTGTGCAGAAGAAGCAGCAGCTCAGGAGCAGACTGGGCAGGTGGAAGAATGTCTGAAAGTGAATCTTCTGAAAATAAAAACTGAGATGTGCAAGAAGGTAAAGAAAATAAATTAAATGTTCTAAAAAGCTTCCTTCCCTGCAGAAGTCTGTGATTTTTCCAGATCACAGCCTAGGTCGTGTTCTAGCTACTATGAGGCCAGAGTGCTGAAATTTCCCCATACATCTCAGTTCTGGCCTGAAGTGATTCAATTTCAATTTGCTAGTGAAAATTATGTTGAAAGTTCTTCCTTTGCAATTCCAGACTGGAATCCTTTCTTGATGATGGTTGCCAAAGGTTCTTGTTACTAACCTGTTTCTTGATGCTATCTCCATTGCAGGCTTTCCTAGGCTCAGGCTGTGTGCTTGGGGGCTGTATGAATTATGCCATGACTATGGCACCTGATTTCAGTTCTAACTGAAGTAGTCCTGGCATACTGCCTTTGTCTTTTAGATTAATATGAGTATTTTAAGGAATGTTACAAACCAGGACACTTAATTAAACCTAAACCAGCGTTCATATTGTGTCCATATCCATATATATGTCCTTATCCTAGGACAGCAGCAGGTTTTCTCACGATGCTGAATTTGAAAAGATGGTACACCTTTCAGAGACATTGATCAACGTGAGTTTTGTTCTGTCTCCTTTTTCTGAGACTTCCTTGTAATTTCCTCCTCTGCAGGAAGTGCTCAACATGCTGAAGGAAAGCAAAGCAGATATCTTTGTTGACCCAGTGCTCCACACGGCCTGTGCCCTAGACATCAAACACCACTGTGCTGCCATCCCGCCAGGGAGAGGACGCCGTAAGTGCTCGTGCTGGACTTGTGTAACCTCTCAGGCTTGAGATACTTAACCTGCACTTCTTACCAGTATAATCTCCCACACAAAATATTTCCACCAGTCATTTGTAGACAACAGCATGGAACAGCAGCAGAAGTGGTAGATGAATGGGAGTTAAGAAGTCTTTCCTTGTGTCCAAGTCTGTAGCTTAGAGAGGGCTCTGCCTGCAAGTGCTTTAATTGACAGTTGTGCATTAAAAGTCTGGAATTGGTTTTAAGTCTGTGGCCTGTTTGCTATGAGCTAAGTAATTCTTCACTGCAAAGCAGAAAACATCTAATTAGGGATTAGTCAAGTATGGTAACATGAATAAAAAATACAAAATTTTACATCTATGTCTTATACGAGCATTTAAACGAGCTTATGAGTTAGTTGGCCAAGCCCCTCTGTAGGCACCAGACACTGTGATCCCATTTCCTTTTCACAAAACTGTGTGAAAAGTCAGGAAGTTAAACCTTTCAAAATGTATTGTTGTTCAAAAGAAACGCCTAACCAGCCTAAGGAGATAAGGCTGTGTTTTTTCTGAGCTAAATTAGATCTTAGCTCTTTCTAAAGGCTGGTGGCATGGAGTTCAGAGTGTACAGCTCGTTGAAGGTGCAGATTTATAAGACTTCATAAAATCTCATGTAAACCACATGAATTATATATTGGATACGTACTGTAGTTTTTGGAAGTAAAAATTCCTTGCATCTCCAAATGCAATACTGATCTTGAATCTTGGTGAAATTGCTAGCTTCAGGCATAGTCTGCCAGGTCTGTTTAGAAAGCCTTGTAACCATCAGCCTTCATGAGAATGGAAGAGCCCTCTCTGCACCATATTATCAAAGCCACTGTTTCTATTTTGTAACACCATCTTCTGCACATTACAGAAATGTCATGCTTAATGGAAGCTCTGGAAGATAAGCGTGTGAGGTTGCAGCCTGAATGCAAGAAACGCCTTAATGATCGTATTGAAATGTGGAGCTATGCTGCAAAGGTAAATATGTAAATGATTTCCATTTTTTAATGCTTTAGATCTTTCTGTTGCAAGGTATTTATGAAAAACTTCAACTGTAATGAAATTCTTGTTTCCAAATGAAGTTTAGTATTTTGAGTTTGGTCCAGAAAAACTGAAATCAGGTTGTCTTCTAGGAACTTAAATCTTATTTTCTCTATGTCTCGGATGTGTCCCTAACAATGCAGAGTTAAACTATCTTTTGTGCACACAGGGCTTAGTCTCCTGCAGAGAAGTGTGGGGCAATGAAACAGGGGCAGGAAAACTTCTGTTATAAAGGTGTCTCCTGAACAGCAGCTCCTTCAGGTGAATCATTGCAGGCCTGCTTTTTTCTGGTTCAGGCCAATTTTAGCAACGACAGGATGCTGCATTAGTAGTACCGGACACTAAAGCTGGTAAATGTCACAGCTGAGGGTTGCATGGAAAGCACAGCTTGGCTCATTTATTCCTTTTTCACCTCAGGTTGCCCCTGCAGAAGGCTTTTCTGACCTTGCCATGCAAGTTATGACCTCTCCATCCAAGAATTACATCCTGTCTGTGATCACGGTTGGTATCTGTGTACTCTTCCTCATCGGCCTGATGTGTGGACGCATCACCAAGCGGGTGACAAGAGAGCTCAAGGACAGGTAGAGCCTGGATTGCCTGCTGAAGAAATGCCTGCCCAGTGCCCAGTTTTGTACAGCCCTCCTCTGTATAGTCTACCCACCCCCTCTTGTGAGAGGAGAATTAAAAAAAAAAAAATTAAAAAAAAAAAAAATTAGAAAAGCAGCAGGTGTTGGCTCAGTTTTCCCATCCTGGATCTCATCCATGGCATCTTCATCCTATGAAAGTTTGTGTGCAACATTGGCAGCCCAGCCAGCAGCTTTTGTTACCCCTTTGTTAGCAGACTCTCATTTACCTGCCTGTAGACAAGTCTCTGTTGTACTGTTGGAACTGCCTTCACTCTCCAAATCAGACTGATATGACCTGCAGCTCAAGCAGTTTTTAAGTAAATTTTTAAAGACAGACATATTCTGCATACCGACTATATGATTTAGGTAATGGTTCATACTGAAATCTAGTCATCCTCTGTGGCTGGGTGAAGTTGAGGCAGGAAATTAAAGGGTAAATTGCATCTTACACCACAGCTGGCCTTGTTTTGGACGTCTTGCTCGTCTGTGTAAAGCATCTTCAGAGCATAGTCTTGGACAACCTAAGGACACCAACCACTGGTGTCATCTCCTAGTGAATATCCTGCTTATGTGACTGTGGATTTTTTTGGCTGAAAAGATGTCCTTCCTTTCTTCCTCTGCTGCTCGCAAGATAGAATAAAATACTGACCAGGATTGAATACTCATGTGAGCTATACAACTTGTGTTTCAGTAGATTAAAGGCACGATGTAGACACGAGGTATGTAGAGCCTGTCAGTAGTGAACAGTGTCAGTGGGCAGGAAGTGCTCTGAGCAGTTACTCAGTCAACTTTTTTATTAGCAATGATGCTGTAAAATTCTAACACTCCTTTTATTTTACCTTGCTACTGCTAAGCTGTTACCCTCCCAAATTAACTGTGTGTTGATGGTACTGACACACTGGCAGTGCAGTGCTCTGTCAGTGATGCAGAAAGCACCAGAACACCCATCGTCCTCTCTCTGTGTAATGGCTACTCGTGGGTTAGCACAGTGGTTTGTAATGGTTTGCATGGTAACACTGAAGAGTGGCTTTCATCTCCACAACTACAATTGATGGTGATAACACCTGGCATGTTCCTGGGATGTAGGACACAGGTGCCAGTCCTGCCAAGTGGATGGAAGCATGATAGTGTGGTGTTGATGAAATCTAGAAGATGCTGCACGAGAATCAATGTGTACAGGAGGATTTGTTTTATTCACCTTTAGGACATGCTTACCCACGGGTGCTGTGGTAAAAACCATGTGCCTGAAACTGTCCAACTTAGGCTGATGCTTGAACCATAACTTTATTTTCCCATTTAGCATGCTCCTATGTAAGATCTGGCATTTCCAGTTCTCCCCATTGTTCTCTAGAAAGAACAGTGGAGGTGGTTTTGAGATACTCTGGAGTGTGGAACAGCTGATTCTGGTGATACTGTACAAACAGAATGGCATATACAAAGTACTGTGAGCTTTTGCTGTGACTTTTTGCTGAAGCTTTTTGCAAACATACCTTCATCCTGCTCTGAGGATGGTGGCAAAGTAGTATGGGTTCAGACTTGCTATGTTAGTGAGTCTCACAAACACTTCTGGTTTTGTAGCAAAGTACTGTGAACACAAACAAGCAGCAGCAAAAGCCTGAGCAATGAAGTTTCAGTGGAGAGTTAGTGTATGGTAGGATTGCAGTTAAGTGGTGAGGTAAAACTGAATTTAAGCCTGAATTGCTTCTCTTGCCCCTCCTCCCTGGTGCTAAGGGAGCTTGCCTGGCTGTCAGTCAGCATGAAGCGGAGCAGAAGAGAAACAGTTAATTTGGTCTCTTGAGGTAGCACAGGTGTGTAACTCCACAAATATTAGTTTGGCAATTAGAAGTGTGTGTTGTATCACTTGAGTGAGTGTTGAAATGACTGCTGTCAAGATGGGTGTGCTCACAGAGCTGCCAGCAAGGGAAGTGGGATCTCGGTGCAGCCTTGCTTGCTGGCACGAGTCCTGCTTCTCCAAAATGTCTATCTGGCATTATTAAATTGCCATTGGAGGGCTTTTTTTAAACTGTTGTGACTTTTTGAGAAGACATTTTGTAACTTGATTAGCTTGAAAAGCCTAATTAGATGGTTTATTGTCTAGAAATAGCATCTTCCACTAAATTCCAAAAGACATTGCAGTGAAAATTGTAGGTTTGTAGCCATAGCTCCAAATGTAAACCCTGTTCAGCTCTGAAGGTGACTTTTACTTTCAGATATAAGGCTTGCTGGGGTTTTTTTCCCTTTTTAATTTGGAGGAGGTTATGGTAAGGGTGCCTGAAGCATGGCATTAGGAGTCTGTGCTCTGCAGTGTATTAGTCTGTGGTTGGTGGTGTTTCTCCCGGTGTCAGGCTCACAGTTTGTGTGAGTGCACTGTGATGCTGTTAGAGGTGTGTGGCCTAAGGCCTCTGGAAGAAAAAGTCGGATACTAAATAAACCTTTTGTCACAGTAGACACAGACCCACCTTTTAAAGGTTGGCAAGGGGTCCAGGCCATTTTATCATTGAGTATATTATCTTTTCATGTTTTAAAAAGGGGTCTTCTACCACTGGTGATGACCAAATCTGCTTTTTTCCCTACTAAAAATATACCAGTCACAGTCTTGAAACATTCTCCTCCTTTTCATGCATACCTAAAAATCTAGAGGTTTTGCAAGCAGAGAAACCCACAGGAGTACTCTTCCAAAAATAACCTGGTTGTGCTGTTGCCAACACATCATCTTGCCTGCAGGTAATCATTTTCCACTGCAGGGAAAGAAAGACTCATAGAACAGTTTTGAGTTGGAAAGGACCTTAACACTCATCTCATTCCAACCCCTGCCTTGGGCAGCACATCTTCCACACTAGACCAGGGTACTCAGAGTCCCATCCAGTCTGGTCTTGAGCACTCCAGGGATGGGGAGTCCACAACCTCTCTGAGCAGCCTGTGCCATTGTCTCAGCACCCTTGTAGGAAGCTGTGAGCAATGGTTGTAAGAAACAATGCAGTTGCCTTGAATTTGAGAAAGCCTTTTTAACTTCTCTGTTTAACAGAGTGTTAGCAGTAGCTGCAGTCAGCCAGGACAAGTGAGTTAGTGTGGAAGAGCCTGTTGTAGTCTTTCCTCTTCAGGACCCTTACCTGCCACTGGAGAAATCTGCCTTCTACTGAATGCAGTTTAGGAGATGGTTGTTGGTTGGGTTTGGTTTTTTTTCTCCTGATCATCACAAAACCTTCTCTTGGAGAGCTAATTCTAGACTTGATGATGCTGGTGGTCAGGGCATGGATGGAAGAGCTGGATGTTTGGGATCTGGCAAGGCATGCAGCTCTCCATTTGCTTCCTGCTGCTGCGAGAGTTACCAAGGCTTCCTAAATGATGGCATGTGTGTCAGGAACTGTGCATGTTGTGCACCTCTATACTCCACTCCTGCTAGCCTGTTGCAGTTCATTCTCGTTCACAGTAATAAGCTTATTTATTGTTTACCTAGTGAGTCTAATCAAGTCCTTTTGAGAATTTCAGCTTGGGATTCTCCTGCCTCACTTTTGTCATTAGGCTGCTAGAGTAACTCATCTGGGTGGGAACAAAATTGCTGGCACCTGAAGTATTGCCCACCAGACTGGGTTGAGTATCCATGTATCTGTGTCACTGCAAAGGGCTGGAAAGACCCTAGTGAAGGTTGAATAATTCTGTAGCAAAATGTTAGCATTTCCTCCAGAATCTGTGATATAATCAGTGTTGCTCTGAAAGAATCCACAGTTAAGTGCATTGTATGGAAAATAACGGTTGTGACTGTCTCAAGTACAGAAACTAACTGCAGGTAGGTACAGAGGGAAGAAATGGAATAAGCCAGAGGGACTGCTGGAATCCCACAATGTTGTAGAGGAACTGTGTTGAAGCTGGATGGCGATTTCTGTTAAAACACGATGTTATTACTTAGTGAAAGAAGATTGTAGGGTTTTTTACTTTATCGGTTTTGTTTGAAAAAAAATGGTAGTTTTGAGATGTGTATGAGTGCACAAGTGTGGTATGAAACCAGAATATTTCATCTAGCACCTCTGTCCCTATTTAAAGTACAGCTCTGTGGACTTAAACAACTGTAGTGTGGGTTTGTGTAAGAGCACATTCCTCATTCTGGGGTTCAGATCCTCCAGGCAGCTCCCAGGTACTGATCTTTGTGCAGTGTCCTTCTTTGGGAGCCAGATCTGCCATTTTGCTTCCACCGATGAGTCATGGTTAGGGAGGACCCAAATCACACATGTGCCAGAGAGAATTCAGCTGGCACTGCACATTGTCCTGTGCTGGTGGAATTCTGCATCTGCTCCACTGAGTTCCTGAACGCTGCCCGGGATAGGGAGGAGTAGCAACGTTGCTCTTCACTAGCCGGAGGCAAGATTTTCTCCTTGCACAACACCCAGATTTGATTCCGTAGCTGACCAAACGCAAAGATCCCTGCCGGGGTGAATCGCTGCACCCTGAGCCCCCAGCCCTGCTGCCCCTGCGTTGACTGAGTTAGATAGAAATGCTCGCCTGGGAAATCCTGAACTAGGAGCAAAGGGAAAGGTGTGCCTGCCCCGAGGGAGGGAGGCTCCATAGCTGTGGGTACAGGCCGGGTGCAGGGGAAGGGGCTCCCCAGCACCCTGCAGTGTACAGAGCAGACCCAGCGGATTCCTGTTGTACAGCAGATGCTGTTTGAACGTAGTCTCTTTTTTTTATTATTATAATTATTTTTAAATGTGACATTAACGAGACTTTTTTTTTTTTGTAAATTGTTTACCCTTTCTGTGTATAAATCCTGGCCGCTCCTTGTTTCAGTTTGGGGTTTTTTTTGTTTGGTTTTTTTTTTTTTTACATGTCCATGCTGTGTAATTTTGAGATGTTACTGAACTTCTGAACATAATAATGTGCATTTTTTTTTCTGTACAGATGAAATGGGAGAATTTAATAAAAAGAGTCTGCAGGTTTGTACTTGTGGTGGTTTATTTCTGAGGGGACGCGCGGGGGGGAGTGGCCTCGCTTGGCCACGCCCCCGGGGGTGGTCGGGGCGGGTGACGCACGCGCAGGGGCGGCTGTCGCGCGGCGGCCGCGGCCGTAAAGCGCGGAAGGTCAGGCCGGCCTCCCCCTGGCCCAGGTGAGCCGGCGCGGCCCCGCCGAGCCCGGCCCCGCTCCGCGACCCCGGCGCGCCCGGCACCGGCAGCGCTCCGTGCCCTCACTCCCCGCCCGGCCGCCCTGCGGCGCGGGGTCGGGGACGCCGGCGGGGGCGAGCAGGCCGAAGCGGGGGGCCCCCAGGCCTGGGGCTCCCTGACACCCCGCGCCCTGACACCCCCGTCCCTCAGGCTGCCTGCACGGAGCGGAGTCTGCGAGTGGGGGAACCTCCGGTGCTGCTGCTGCTGGGGGAGCTGCCGCAGCAAGGCCCTGGGGTAAAGCTTGTGGTAAAGCTGTTCCCGGAGGGGCCTCTCCGGTGCCCTGTGCCAGTTACTCTGACCACAGACTTCGTTTCCTTCTTCAGGTAAAGGCCTGGCAGCGTTAATAATCAAGCTTATTTGTGCCCTAATTACTTCTGGCTTTCGGAAACATTCCAGAGCATGATCTGTGCCTGGTGGCCGTTTCAGCTCTCCTTGTCACTGGTGTGAGAGCTTTTCCACCTTTCGTTTGGTTTTTTGCTCATTGTCAAGTTGCACTGTGTCAAAACCAAAGGTGTAATGCTCTGTTCCTATTTCATGATCTAAGTTTAAATCTTAACGGCAAGGTTGTTTGAGGAGTAACTGCCCTCCTGTTTGTTTGCTCATCAGCTTTCTCATGTCCACTTATACCCGGCACACCACGTGATGTGTCCCGCTGCCAGCCTTGTGTGTCATAAGTGGTAATGTGAGTCTCATCTTTTCCTTCCTAGAAGGAGTAGTGCTGAGGTAACATCTGAACACATCTAGGCGGTGCTTTAGGAAAGGTGACAAAGAGCAGCCGGGATGTTTCTCCGATTGCTGTCCGATATCCAGTGGCGGGCGGCTCACCCGAAATGGAGGAGGATGACCGGCTCCCAGCGAAGCACCTCCACCACAGCAGAGCCTCACCCGCTTTCCCTGCCAGCCCAGGCACAGGTTGTCATCTGTGGTGGTGGAATCATGGGCACCTCTGTGGCCTATCACCTTTCCAAGATGGGCTTTAAGGATATAGTCTTACTTGAGCAGGGCAGGTAAGGATTTCTGGTTAAAAACCTGTATTTGTTTGGGTTTAAAGCAAATTTGGGAGAGAATTTTTTAAAGGAGTTTTGGTAGGAAAGCAGATTTAATCGGCTCTTTTTTATACTGGTTTGGGAGAAAATACTTTTTTGGAGAAAGGTGGAAAAAAACTGTTTATTAAACAATAAAATTTAAACAATTTTAAACAATAAAATTTTTTGCTACTTTAAAAGAGATGACAAATTGAGGAAGTTTTTTTTTGGGTTGTGGCTTAGCTTATTTAGTCTTTGATTAGTTTCTTTGGTGTTGGAAATGTTGCAGGTTAGGCTCGGTTTGGTGGGCTACAGATGCAGCTGCTGGTGCTTTTCTGGGTGTTTAGTTCAGAGCAGGTTTCAAGAGGTTTAAGGAAAAGGAAAAAAACCGAAAGTTTAGGGAACTTCTTTGCTTCAGCTAGCTAAAACTAACTAAAAGCAAAAGAGAGCTCTGTCTCGCTGTCTGTCCATCCACAGACAACAACAGTTTAGGAGCAGGAATGTGGAGGAGTGAGTACAGTGTCTGAAAGAAACTGCTGCTTCTCCTCTCTCCTCCTTTCACTGTCTAGAACACTCTTAAAAGTGCAAAACTTATTATTCAACATAAACAAAATAAAACTATTAAAAATAAAAGCATCATATAGTCAACTCAAAACAAAACCCAACAAAGCAAGACTTCTGTGCAGAACAATATCTGCTGTAATGTGTTATTTCTATCTCTTCACCTTTTCCCTGGGTGAAATAAGGTTATACTGAACATTAATAACAACACCAACTGCCTCTTCCTAAGCACAGGGCTGCTCTGCAAGGTGAAGAGTATCCCTTGTGTGATTGTGGTGGGGTGGCCATGGCTCATGGCCAGACTGCCATGCAGCCATGCCATTTCCCTCTGCAAAACAGAGAGAAATTAAGCTGAGAGAACTTGTGGATCAGGATAAAGATATGGAGATTGTACTGCCATGGGAAAAACAGACTTATCTGTGGGAGAATTAATCTAAAATAATGACTTTATTTCATTAGATTCAGGTAGTGAGAAACAAAAAGCAAGCATTAAAATACCACCTTTGTTTTGGTCAACTTTACTCCTGCACTCCAGGGTCTTCTCCTTCCCCACAGTGTCCTGAGCAGCATGAAGATGACACAGTGGGGTGTGGTTAGTTCTGGGCTCCAGTGAGTGTCCTGCATGTGCTGCAGTTCCCATCAGGAGAACTCTGCTCTGGTGTGGGTTTTCCATGCACCATGGAAAACCCTTTGGGAGTTCCTTTGGGAGATATTTAGCTGCTCTGCTGTAATCACAGGTGATCATGTAAAACAATGCAGCTGACAAAGATGATGGATCATTTTAAAAGAACTAAAAATCCATGTTACTCCTGCAGCCCCTGTTGACCTCTCAGAGCAGGATGCAAAGCATTACACAGCCAGCAAAGCTCCAGAGATTGCAACAGGTTGTAAGCAAGCATCACTAAAACATCACCCTGTAAGCTGGTTAAATGCTCAGATTATCCACTTTGGAGGATTTAGTGGCTCTCTGTAAAATAGCCAAGACTGTTATGGTTTGGCTGAGCAGAAGTGCCCTCAGTGAGTTTGGTCAGCTCTCTGTAGCAGAGCAAGAGTTCCTGTTGAAAGCTGCGCATCCCAACATTTCCCCTTTTGTTTTAAATGTCCATTTCTGAGAGTCATTTGTGGTGTTTTAATTAAGCAGTTTGGGGATCCTGGGCATGAGACACCACTGAGACTTTAGGGTTTGAAGAGGTGTTTATTGTAGCAGCTTCCAATACCCTAAGTAAGTGCTGGACTGTTTATTTATCATCTACTTTAGAGCTTTCCACCTGATACTGCCTTCAGGAATAATTAGCCGTGGTTCCTGGAGTCTGTGTGGCTGGGAAGCAGCAGGTTCTTTCTAGCTGCAAAGAAAAGGATTTGGGTATTCTCATCTGAGACCTTGTGAGTGTGGTCATTCTGAGCAGAGTGGGTGCTGGGCTGTGTTTGCAAGGGAATGTCTTTTTTGCTAGCTTGGAGCAGGGTTTGAACAGCCCATTAAAGATCTGCAGTGAATTAAGATGCTGTGTAGGCTCAATCTGTGCATGCTCAAGGAGAAGGAGGAATATTGCAGTAGCAGAAATCTCTTATGAGGAGCACAGCATGGCAAGACTGTGCTTCTTCTCTTTGGGTTGTTGTTGAGTAGGGGTGCAGCAAATATTCCTTACCCAACTGAATCATAGATTGAATTACTGAGAGAATATAGACATGCTGGGCTGCAAGCAGTTGTGTCAAATGGAAAAATGCAAGATGGCTTCAGCAGCAGCAAAGGTAATTTGGAATTGTTGTGGAAGCAGGCTGCAAGGGAGATGCTTAAATCTAATTGCCTTGTCTTCCCCTGTCCATGCTGCATGGAGTTGTGTAGGTTTCTGTCCCTAGAGCAGCTCTTCACAAATAGCTCAATGGTTTAGAGACAGTCCTAGAAGGGATAAGAAACATGTGTCTGTCTATGGCAGTTGTTACAGGGTGAGAGGGACTTGCTCATACTGTAGTCTTCAAAGATGCAAGACAAGTTCATTTTGATTTGATGGAAATCTTTCCTGGAGAAGGAAAGAATCAGGCAGCTCACCTTAAGTGTAAGATTTTTTTTTATTTATTCAAAAAGTGTTTTCTTTGAAAAATGTCAGTTTTTAAGACTTGTTAAAGAGAAATTGTCTTGGAATGCATTGTGTTTTCAAAAGTGAGTGAAAGGAATATCATTCTAGAGGTTCTATCAGCCCTGCATCATCCAGCTTAGTGTAGTTCTGGTGTGTTTGGGGGAGAAGTTGCTGTGTGGTTTGTGCTGCCAGTGGAGCTGCTGGAGCAGCCTGGTGTGGAGTGTGTACCTGGCAGCTGTATGATCAGGGCCCTTCTCTGCACCTTCTCCTGCAGGTTGGCTGCTGGCACCACTCGATTCTGTGCTGGCATTGTGAGCACAGCCAGGCCCGTGTCCATAGAGCTGAAGATGGCACACTATTCAAACAAGCTCTACCAGCAGCTGGAACAGGAGACAGGAGTGCAAACAGGTACTGAAAGTGCCAGCATGGAGTAATCTTTGGGAAACTGAAATACTGACACTGAAATATATGTGAATAAGCAATAAAACCACACTGACTGTGATTTTTCAGTGTCTTAAGGCTTGAAAGGCCTGTTCAAAAACAATACATATGGACCTAATCAGATACAAAGTGATGTCACCAGTGTAATCAGAATGGGGAGAAGGATATCAGATGGGCAAACTGAAGGCAGACTACCTGCAAATTGTGACAGTTTGCACGTTGTCTGTAACTTGGGCAGACAAGGGAATTTCCACAAGGACATGGAAAATGTATTGCAGTGACTGGAGCAAGTTGGCCTGTTCTGTGCAGTGATTCTCCTCTCAAAAAGAAAGTGTGGTTAACAGGAGCACTGAAGCATAGGCAAAGCTGTGTCTCTTACTGAAGTCTAGCCCTGGAAATAACAAAAAAGATTATGTTTAGATTTTCCCTCTCCCTCCAAAATGTCTGGGCATGTACCTGATAGGAAGAACTTGATCACTAAAAGCTTTCTTCTGATAAGAACTTGTCATGTATGTCAGACAAATGAATACCTCAATAGAGATTCATAACTCTGCCTGCAATTAAGATGAATACTAATTTAGTGCAGGTGTTGGAGTGATATAATATCTACTTTTAGTTGATTAAGTTTTATTCTTCTGAGTAGTCATTAGATCACTTTCAACTTCTCTCTCTTTTAACAG